ATTTAGTCTTCCTGTAATATATTAACTAATTAGTAAAGCTCTGTTTTAATAAAGTCCCAATAAGTAAAAATTAGGGCTGGAAGTGCGGTTTTAAGGTGAGAATAAATTATTTTGGTGACTGAAATTAATTGAAGTTGAAAGTTTCAGCACCCATGAAAAGAATGAGAATAGTTAAACAATAGCGAATATGGTGAGGGCCAATCACATTGGACAATCGTGGAGCGCCCGTTGTAACCAGATGTCTTTAAACGCGGACTGTAGCGCCCTCTTGTGTTCAAATGCTGTCAAATTAAACACAAAGAAAAGTTTATTATAGGCCCCAAGTCCACTGCAGCCTGCACAGATGGCCTTCATGCTCAGGTCAAGCTTCACAGAGGTAAAAACAGAAAGAAAGAAAGAAAGAAAGAAAGAAAGAAAGAAAGAAAGAAAGAAAGAAAGAAAGAAAGAAAGAAAGAAAGAAAGAAAGAAAGAAAGAAAGAAAGAAAGAAAGAAAGAAAGAAAGAAAGAAAGAAAGAAAGAAAGAAAGAAAGAAAGAAAGAAAGAAAGAAAGAAAGAAAGAAAGAAAGAAAGAAAGAAAGAAAGAAAGAAAGAAAGAAAGAAAGAAAGAAAGAAAGAACCATTGGTTTATTTGATAAATAAGTCTTTTACTAATTTCTACACCTTGAATCTTCTTCAACTCAACATTTTTGCATTTGGCACAAAATAACATTAAGACAAGGTTTACTTGTTAGTATCTATAAATGATCATGGAAGAGTATAGATAGTAATTAAATAACGATTTAATAAAATATTTAGCTTTTATTTGAAATATGATTATAACATTCTAATTATTATCAGTCGTATACTCAAATATCAATTTTTATATTTTTTTGTAATATTACAATCATTATAATAATCTATAATTCTTTTTTATTCGGCTTATTTCTCTACTAATGGCCCCATAAAGCTAATGTAGTCCGAGTTAACCCTTCTTCCCATGGAGCCCAACTAATATTAGACATTGTCTGCCTGGTTGCTTCTAGGGATTATTAATCCGCCCAGTTATCAGAGTGTAAATAAATTAGAGCCTATAAAGCGGCCCGTTCTGAGAAGAGCTTAGTTATAAATCAGATCTTTTAATGAATATCTACAGAGGACAAAATCCATGGAAGAGAGAGAGAGAGAAAAAAGAAGAGGGCTGCGTGATGGGCCGATGAAGGCCGGCTATGTAATTAGATTAAGAGACGCGAGGGGAGGCGACTTTCTAATGGGCTCTGAGGCGCTGCCACGAACAGACAGACCCTTTCAGAGCATTAAGACAGAGGGAAGGGGAGGGAGGGAGGGGCCCATAACACATCTAATCTGACATGACACCCCTCTTGTTTCAGCCTGCCTGTTAACCAGCAAGCCCGGAGCGCTCCAGATCCCTAACTGCTAAAACTCGAGCCTTCACTGACTTTCTGACAACATGTTATTAACCTAAGTGCTCAATTATAGCCTAGGCCTCATTTCTACTACAGAGCTACCAGGATCAGTATTAGGCTCCTCACTGCTGCGCCTTCAGCTGACAAACTCTTGGAAGTTAATCATTTGAGCAGCCGGTTGGGTTCTCGCAAAATAGGGTTAATAATGTTAACAATAAAAAAAGAATATGGAAATAAAGAAAAAATCCGCAATGAGAAGAAACTAAATGTTTAAAAGGAAAGTGTGGCTGAGTTTCCAGTGAAGGGGACCCTAAAGGGAGTTTCAGCACTTCAGATTTATGGACTGCTGCAGGTCCTCAAGGAGCCGTGGGGAACTATTTCACAGCAGCGAGTAAAAGAAAACAGAGATCAGTTTAAAAAAGTCTAAAAGGAAACTGCTTACCCTTGGAACAAAGTCGACATTTTTTTTTTCTTATTTTTTAAAGATCTTCAAAGAAGTAAGGACTTATTTGAAGTGAACAGTAGCATCTAAAGCTGTTTATTTGAAATACATATTATTATCATTTCTTTATTATTGGTACTGCCAATTAAACGTTTTATATAAAAAATAAATTTGGTCACTTTGATTAAAAAAATTATGAAATGCTACTAATTTCCCTGATGCCCTGTAAATTGTGTCACATTTTGATTAAATCCACTGGAATTTAGCCATTTCTGAATTCTTTTAAAGATGTTTGAATAAATGAAAAGTAGCTACTATTTGAATGAGACAGATGAATAAAATAAAACTTTTGACTTGGGGAATTTATTGCGTTTGGCCAAAGGGAAATTGCAATTATCTGTGTACAGATGAAGGAGTCTCATTATCAGCTTTTTTTCATTCTGATTTGTAGCAATAGACCAGTCGGTTTCTTTTATTAAGGCCCAAATTCAATGCCTTCATTTTTGTGAAAAACAAAAAACAAATCGTTTCACTGTCGGAGAATTTTTGGTTTAAAGAAAAGGAGCACTGTAGTTAAGATTTCACTGCAAAGTTTCTCCGCTCTTCCGACTTACCACAAGAGGGCACTAATGAGCCTGAAATAAATTGGATTTTCTTGTCCTATATGGGTAATTCCTCTGCATGAGCGAGTAAGACCATATGTTGTTGCATAGAAGCATGTTTGAGTGTAAATGTAAATATATCAAAGGATTGGCAGTATTAACTTGATTAGTGAATTCAGTTATTTTGGTTAATTTTCCATTTTTCTTGACTCTATAGCTCACAAGCAGAGGTTTATAAAGTTCACAAAAACACTCTAGCAAGAATATTCCTATTTTAAATTCCCTTTTTTCTTCTCAAATTACAGTAAAAAGAAGTCCTCTAAGAACTACTGAGTAGCCTTCCTGTTTTGTCATCTCATCTTATGTAATGTTTAGAAACCATGCAGTGAGATGGAGCTTATGTGCACAACCTAGTATTTGGAAGACAAAAAATACATTTAGAGAAATTAATTATATAAGAATGATACCTTAGTAACTTAACATTTTTCTAACTTAAAACTTAAAAAAATAAATCATCTCTGTAATTATTATATATATATATATATATACATATATATATGTATGTATGCATTTATATATACATATATATTCGAGTATGGTTAAATAAAAAAAAAACTCCCTCTATTAATATAATCTGTTTGCTCTACAATAAGTCTCTAAATAACTCAGGTGTACAGAGTACACAGAAATCTTTACACATCTATGAGTAGTGATACTTTACAAGAATATTAGTCAAGTATTGATACAAAGTACATTACAGGAAAATGATTCCTAAAAATAAACAACAAAACCTCAAATGTTGCTTAGTTAACTAGTTACTATCCACCTCTGCAGATAAGTGTTGTTTTTTTCCAATCTATACATTTAATCAATCAATACATTTAAAGAGAAAACCAACGTATGTACAATCATTCTTACCTGTTAAATTTGAGTTGCTGCTTCATATAATGTTTTGGAAAAGCTTTTGAAAGTTTTGAGAAATTAATTATTGCCCATTCTAAATGTACTGCATGATCTAACTGGTTTTAGTTCTTACAGTTCATAGAACTGATCTTTCTGTTGAAGCTGTCCTGGGAACATGTAATAAAGAGTGTCTTTGTCCATTTGCTTTAGAAGCTGGTGATTAGATAAGAAAATCTAAGACAAAAAAACCAGATAAACAAAAAATAGTACACCGTCAAACTCCTGTTGCTACACTTTTTATTTCAGCAGACTCAAACAAGCTGGTTTTTTTATCCTTTTGGGGGGACCTGTTGAACCATATGGAGTGTTGTGGGGAAAGCTTGTTGCATGCAATCAGATCTGTACCTATCTGCACCCAAAGGAAGGCGTGTTTACTTGCTCGGCACGCTCATTGGGAATAGAAGCTGGACACTGCAGGACTGCCCCCTTTTCAGTGATCCTGTTCTTGTTCTTTCTGGAGAGGATGCTTTCTCTTACCAATTCCAATTGATGGCTGGAAAGGTTCACAGGTATGTTTGGAGTGGCCAGGATAACAGTCTGCTTCAGTCAAATGCTGTGATTCTTAATCTGAAAAGACTGGACTGATGTCCAAATAGCCTCTGCCTCACAGGATCAAATTTCTTTGATACCTTGGATCTTTATTTGCAGTAATAAGGGAAAGGAATGGAGTTGAAAGGGAAAGCTCTTGATTTTCTGATCCAATGAAGTTCAAATCCTTGCATATAATACAGTATTATAAATCAAAAAATAAAAAATCTGCTGGACACATGTTGCTAAGATGGATTTACTTTGGGACATATTGGGAAATTTAAGTAAATCTTAAAGAATAAGTTTTAAATATAAATCTTTCAAACATATCCTAAATTGGTAGGTATAACATATTAACAGATGGATGGGGAACTATGGATGGGTGAATAAATGATAGATGGATGACATGTGTTGACACTTTGACAAGGAATCAAACCTGAAATAATTTTTTTTCTATAATTAAATCAAATCTATTGAAATCAAATTCACTACTTTTACAGATTTTAAAATATTTCTGTGAAAATATAAATCCATCACTTATGTTTTTATCCATTAAAAATTATTGAAACATATCAGTTAAGCCTGAGATTGCTAGCTGTCATATCTATTCACAACACCAGGTAGCAGCAGATGATGATTCAAACTTAAAAAGAAGAAAATAGCTATGTGAATTTAGCACACATAAGACATAATGCTTTCTTTTAAACATAATTGGATATGTTTGTGGCCTGGTGAAATAAAAATGATTAGTTTTAGTTACAGAAGAATGATATTAGGATTTCTTTGTGAAAATCCTAAATAAAATGTAATTACTGATCTGTTTTCCCAGGGTATAAATTTAAGACATCGCCTAATTTTTAAACAAATTTTCAAAATAAGGAAGAAAAGAAAGGATTCCAAATATAGGTGAGGCAGAATCGTGTTAGTCTTTGGAAGACAGTAATAGAAAACAAGAAAAATATACGAGAATGTTACAATATCAAGCCTATAATATTTAAATTGGTGTTTTATAACAGCTGCTTCCTAATGACTTGAGATCCTAGTAATTAAAAAAGGCCAGGCTCTTCTTCCACATAGTCTTTTATTTGTAAATAATAAAAATGAACTCTTGAATATAAAACATACACATCAGTAGAGCCACATCTGTTATACAAACAAGAACTGTTGCAGTGAATACTTTGTCTTTCGTCAAGAATCGTGGTTTGGGAACCATGGGCTGTAAACAATCAGTATTCCAGAAGTAATACTGACAAAGGAAAGGGCAGTCGGCCACACCGCCAAGGATGAACAAAAAAATCTGCAAAATATGTCTGCAAAACTAGATTTATCATCGGTTTCAGAAGTCCAGTCCAAACTTGGTCATAAAATAGGGAAGGGGAGGATTTAATTTGATCAGCTTTTTTTCTTATTCTTTTTTTTTTTCTCCAACTGGGTCCAAACAAGGCCTATAACCAGTCCTCTGTGGCTCAACGCCGCTCAGCGGCTCAAGCACCAGAAGCAAATTCCTCCCCCCAAGACCAGGGAATGTTTGATGTGTGTCAGCAGTGTTTGACTTGTTCTGATGCTCATTTGAAGCTGCTTGTTCTGATCAGTATGTACAACCTGTGTTTGTGTGTGTGGGCTGAGGACGTGTACAATAAAATACACTTTTTTTTGTATTTATATAGCTATATCTTTAAAATTTCTGTCTCATAATGAGGTTTCATATACATTTAGCCGTTATACACACATTCTATATCTCTGCCTCTAGCCCCGACTGCCTCAAACTACAGTTTAGACGCCTACAGGGGCTCAAGATTGCTCAGTACTACAGAACAGCACTGTTATTCATTGGGTTTGAGGAATAAAAAGCTCAACAGAGACGATTTTCCTGTTTTGTGTAGACATTTCGACCCAGCAATGTTAAGCGTGGCCTGAGTGCAGCTGAACCCTCCCCTCCCCCCCTCGCCGCTTATTGGTCCGCTCATGTCAGAGGCGGGGATGGCTTGGCTTTTCTCTGTATTCATATTCAGTACGAGCAAACTGTACAAGAACATGCAACATACAAGCTGGCCTAAAAGTATGTGGAACTAACACACATAGTCTAGTCTTTTTTTCTGCATTTGTTTTTTTGAGAATTGCTTCATTGTAGTTTTAGTCTCGTCTTTCAACTTTACAAAAAAAGGTAAAGAACGAAAAAACGGGAAAACAAAACAAAACAAAACAAAAAACGCAACGAACTGAAAGCAAAGAAACGTGCATGCAGCCTGGGGCCGAGCCGGGCGGGGGCGGGGCGGGGCAGAGGCATCCCCGAGTCATGCTGCTCCCTCCAGCGGGGGGCTTAGGGTTGAAGAGGGAGGAGGGTTGGGTTTGATGGGTGAAGGCATGTTCGAGCTAATGTGACATTTGCGATCGGCACGGCTCGAAAATCAAACGTACAAATATACAGCGGGAGTCTGCACCTTGAGGTTCCAATCTGAACGACAGGTTAAACCTAAACATGAAGGATGGTTGGAAATGAAAGCTGATGATTTATTTGGCCATCGTCTTCTCTCAGACAGAAACCTTCCTGCTATTCTGTCAGAACAAATGATTCAAGCCTTTCTTCTTGTGCTTCCTTTCATTTTTAACATCATGGATATGAATGTGCTGCCTTTCTCTAAAGATTATCATTCTGTGTCAAACTGCTGCCCCTAATTCTCAGGACTGATAGAATTCCTGAGTTAACATCATCAGAGACAACAGCCACCCTCTGCTGACAGTTGCAAGAAGCTCTAACCGTTTGCGTCTTACTTGTCTAAGACTGGAAGAAGCCCTGCTCTGATTGGCTGCAGGGAAACAGTTTGATCGTTCGCTCTTGCAGAGACTTCACCGAAAATAACAAAGAAAAAATGCTGAGAAGTGAAGGAGGTTGGACAAAAAGCTCCACAGCTGCAGCTCAGAGAAGAAAACAAAGAAGGCACAACAAAAATATGTAAGGAGAAGGAAGCAGAGGGAAGGTTTGAAACGTGATTGTCAGACTCCAGCTAAGCTTTGATTGGCTAGTTCTGCCTCTCTCATTTTTTCCCCTCTTTCTCTCATTTCCTGGCTCTCCATCTGGTTTCTCATTGATTCCCAGAGTGCGTCTCCTCGCTGGCGTCCTCGGGCTGTGTCTGTACCCTCTGCTCAGGTGTGGTCCAGCAGCTGCGGTCCATTATCTGATCAGGTCAGGGCTGTTTTGGGGTGAGCGTTTGCCACTTGGTCACTAGGAACGAACGCCGGGTGGTGGTCCTGAGTCCAGCGACGTCTGAGACGCCAGGCGCGTGAGCGGAGCTAGCGTGGGGTCCACCAATGAGGACGGTGGAAACAGTTTGTACCAGCCAATCACCGTGCTTGAGAGGTCCAGCTCCTCCAGCAGGATCTGTGCTACACCCATGAAACATTTGTGGTCCAGTCGTCCGTAGTCGCCCCACACTATAACCTAAACAGAGAGGAGCAAAGTATGAAACAGCAGAACACATAAGAAATAAAATCAGATAGATATAATAATTTAGGCTACTGTAGGCCTAAAGCAGAGAAACCAGGATGTTGGAAGAGTAAAGCTGATAAATCAACATCACATGGAGATATTCAAGCTTTGAGTGGACTGCTCTAAGTGGTTAACCTCCCCGGATCTAAACCAATTAATTGCAGCTCTGGCCTTTTGACTACTCCTCTGATTAATGTTTTCCTTAACCAGTCAGTTCAGATGGTCAGCCATGTCTTAGTAGGTTTAATATTGTGCCATACCCTTTTCTTTTCTGTCTGAACAGTGCTGTGTTCCTTGGTATTTATACTATGTTCACACTGCAGGCTGAAGTGACCCAAATCCGATTTTTTTACCCTTATGCGACCTGGATCAGATCTTTTCATGGCTGTCTGAACAACACAGATCCGATTTTTTTCAATGTGACCCAGGCCCCTTGGCTATGTGGTCCTGAATCCAATACGAATCTGATCTTTTCAAATGCGACCCGTGTGTGAACGGTCAGGTTGGATTCATCGACCTGAAGGTCATTAATACCCGACAAAGGTCACTATTCTGCATCTTGCTATGCAAAAGCGGCAAGAAAAACAACAACCTTGGCAGATGATGATGCGGAGAGCAGTATTTATGTTTAACCATATTGAAAAGATTGAGTTTTTATGGTTGGGAAAAGACCGCTAGATAAGCATCGGCACTACCATCCATGTTTACTTCTGGAAAAGAAAGCACACTGGCCTAGGGCTGGGCGATAATTCAATAACGATATATATCGATCGATAGACGTGTGGCGCAATAGAAAAAAAGAGAGTCGATAAAAGTTCGACAAAAAAGAAATGCAGTTTTCCTTCCTTCTCATTGTAGCCTAGCATGTAGGTTTATGCTAGTCACTACTTCCTCCCAACCAATCGCAATCGCGGACCCAGGCACGCCGTCACAAAGCGCCGCCCTCTCAAACCACAACACAGAGCACATGAAGATGTCGCAGCAAGGAGAGGCGGAGGAAATGGTTCCAAAGAAGGATTTTTGTAGTTCTCCAGTTTGGCAGTATTTCGGTCATGGCAAGTTGGACCAAAAACAAACCGCAGTCATCTGTAAAATGTGTCGGGAACCAGTGAAAACGAAGTCTGATAACACAACCAACTTTTTTTTTTATCATCTCAGCCACTCACACCCGCAGGAGTATGAGCTGTGAAATCCCCGGCGCGGCTCTCCTCCGAGGAATCTTTGGGAATTTCGGGAAAATATATATATATTTTCAGTTCTGGGCAGTTTCCCACGTAGTTCTAACAATTGAGATAAAAATGCTGAGGGGCCAGCAACTTCAAAGTAATAACTCAGGTTAAAGCAGGAAACTATCTGAACCAGGTTCAGCTTAGAAGAATGGGGGCGGTGGGGGGGCATTTATTTATTTGTTATATTTATTTTGGTCACTTTTCTGGTCACTTTAGTTTATTCTTTGTCAGTATTTAATAACATAACTCAGGTCTCTTAAGTTATTTTTCTTTAAAACAATTCTGTTATGGTTAAAAAAGTTGGTTAAATAAAGATTTAATTCGAAGTCTGTGTTTGTGTTTTTTATTAAAATTAAATCATTTAGCAATATTATAAAAAGTCCAGGCAGAGCTGCACATAAAATATGGTTTCAAATCTTTTCAATAATTATCGATATCGATCAATATGCATTTTTTTTTTATCGATAAGCTTTTTTTTCTATATCGCCCAGCCCTACACTGGCCTGTGACATCATTGCGTCCTCTACTGTGCATGTGGGACACTTGCATTGTATGACTGCAGTTCACACAGGAGATCACATACAAGTCGCATATATTTGGAAATATGAACGGCAACATAAAAAAAAATCGGATTTCGCAAAAAAAATCGGAAATGAGCATCAAGGCCTGCAGTGTGAACGTAGCCTAAGATGCTGTTTACTTATTCTTGTTCTCAATTTGACCTCTAATGTCTTCAGAGAACAGCTGGAATTAATGAGCTGCATGACATTTCACATAGGAGTATCAGAGGGATGGCAAATGCAAGCCACACTTTTCAGATAAAAATTTGTAAAAGAAACAAAGAAGCAACGAAATAACCATTACCTACTTTACTTTATTAATATTGTATATAATATTTGCAAAGTATTCCCCTCTTAATTAAAAGTTCAAAATGAATGTTTGGCTTTAGATCAAAATAAATCAAATTTGCTGAATTTAAATGTTTTTATGGAGTTAAAAATCAGGGAACTTGAGGATAAGGGTATTCTGGTGTTGAGGTTTTTGAAATACATCTGACAACTTACGATAAAAAAAAATATTCAACTAAACATGTTTATTACCTGAAGCACCTTGCCCTGAGGACTTTCTTCAAAGAGCAAGTGCTGCTGGTAGAGCGGCTCCAGGGTCTTTCGTGCAATCTTGGTTTTCTTTTTGGCTTTACATGTGCCGTTCTCCAGCAGATAGACCTTGACATAAGGAGCTGAGCAGCAGGGAAAAAAATAAAGATAAAAACAGTTGGAATACATGAGCAGAAGAGTCCTTCATAAAATCATATGTCATGTTTGCAGTAGACTGAATTGTCAGGGTACAGTGGAGTGAAAAATGTGTTTGCCCCTCCCTGATTTATTTATTTATTTTGCATGTATGTCGCATTTAAGTGTTTCACAGCATCAAACAAATTTAAATTAGCCTTCCACTGCCAGGTCCATCTTTTGTCTCATCTGTCCACAGAGTAGTCTCTTAAAGTTTTAAGAACCATAAAATAATATTCAATTATCAGTGCTCCTTTTTGCTCAGCAGTGGGTTTTGGTCTTTTTGCTCAGCTTGTTTTTCTGGTGGGGGCATCTCCAGACCACAGGCCTGTTCACAAGGCAGGTTTAACAAACTTAGACTAAAATCCTGAATTCTGAATATGGATGTAGCCTAAGGTTGGAGAGTCTGAGTTTTCTGTATCACAACAGCTGCTATGAGTTAGATTAATCAACTCTGAGTAGGTCCAATGGCAATGGAAGCCATTATCAATGGAAGCCACCATGTCACCATGACAGCAGACAACAGGAAGTGCCTATTTTACACAACTGGAACTAAAGATTTTAATGCAGAAATGAAAAAATAAAAAATAAAAAATTGGAGAAATTTCAACAGCACTACGGCTGCAAAGTGCTCTATTTGTAGATCACTAAAATCCTGGTCAATCTCACATTCCTAGACTGAACTTTAATAACAGATTTTTTAAATTACAATTTTGGGGCAGAAACTGAATTTCAGAAAGTAAAGAAAAAGTAAATTGTACTTGTAATGGTTTAGTTTCATATATGCTCATAAAATCTTTGCCTGAGAGATTAGAAATAGGAGAAAACTGGTGATTGAGACATTCGTACGAACAATTTATTACGAGCAAATAAGTGCAAAAAAAAAAACAGTTCTTGTATGAGGCTCAAAATGATCTAAAGATGTGTGATGTGATGATATTGTATAATGTGACAAATCTATAAGAAGTTTCCTTTAACTGTTATTTGGGGCGCCTCCTGGTGAAGTGAGCCCAGCAGGCCTGGTCTGAGTAAGATTAAATTCCGTTAAACCTGTCATTATGCCCATATATATATATATATATATATATATATATATATATATATATACAGATGTTTGATCGCAGTGGTCTCTTTCAAGGAAAGAAGGGGGAGAGAAAGCTCGAAGGTGTAAACTTAGCTTTCATTATAGATAAGTTATGTTCTTTCTTATTTTTCCTCGACTTTATTTGGGCTTCTGCATGATGTTCAGTTTTTGAGGATTGTATTTAATGATTTCTTAATTAAGAACAGTGGCTACAGACTTTTTCATACAGGGGCAAGGAAGTCTAACAATAAAGCCCTTATTTTTTTGACAAATATTAAAATGCATGTGAGGTTGTGAAACACTCAGAGATGGCAAAAGTACTCACTTTCCGTACTTGAGTAAAAGTACAGATACTTGTGTTAAAAAATACTCTGGTAAAAGTGGAAGTACTGATTAAACTTCTTTACTCAAGTAAAAGTAACAAAGTACAGGCTTGTAAATTTACCTAAAGTATAAAAGTAAAAGTAGAAACCACTTTTTTCATGCCGTTGCCTACATTTTAAATGGATGTCTGCCAATAGGACTAGATCTCCGTTGTGTTCATTTTCAATCATCTCGTCGTCCATGCTACTATGCTAACGCCACCGCCACCAAGCTGCAATGATTTGCCGCCAATGAATACCGCCGAATCTGTCGATTCATCTTGTAGTGGTGCGTCAAATGCAACGTAGATTCCCATCCAATTAGATTGAATTTGGTATTGATGAAGTGAAAAATAATAACGGTAACTCCATTGAAATGATTCAAAACTAAAGTAACGAGCCGATTTTTTAAAATGTAAGGAGTAGAAAGTACAGATATTTGTGTAAAAATGTAAGGAGTAGAAGTAAAAAGTCACTATAAAAATAAGTAGTAAAGTAAAGTAAAAATATCAGAAAAATCTACTTGAGTACAGTAACAAAGTATTTTTACTTCGTTACTTCCCATCTCTGGAAACACTTCAATGTGAGCAATGAAAAAGTGTAAGAAAGCAGGAATGGAGGCACATGCCTCTTTACACCATTTTATCCAATCCAAATGAGTCCATGTTACCTGGGAGGGATTTGGAGCCTGGTTTAGAGGTAAGGCCTCGCGCTCGGATCACCTCTACCTCTAGCTGGCCTTTCTTATCCATCAACCCGATCTGAACATCACCTATTGAGGTTTGACAAACAGATACATTCAAAAACTGCTTTCAGAAAGTATAAGACTTTCTACAATCTTTCTAAAGCCTTGTCCACAACCACCACTAAGACTTAAATACACAATTATTAGGTATCTTGCCACTGCCCCCTCTAGGATCTACAACTCACCCATTGCAGGTGTTGCTAGTGTTTGCCGGCCAACCAGCTGACCTGGGCCTAATCCGTCCAGGAAGTCGCTGAACTGGCTGTCAGCACCCAAGCGCATCCCTGAGAAGATCAAACTGAAACATGCAAAACAGAAATTATCCGACAGTACCAACTGTCAAACAAGACATTATGACATTATAATTAAGTTTTCGACTCAAATGGAATATCTAAAATCATCTAAGTCTAAATTATAATAATAAACAAACAAAAATATGGGATTTTAAGCCTGCTAACTCCACGAATTAGCAGACATGCTGGTGAAGATTTTCAGTCATCCAAGAGTTAGCAGAATGATTGTTACTAAGTTCATCAAAATTCCATTGTAGGTTTTTGAGATGAAAAAAAGGATTTCAAACTAGAGGGTACTGTATAATGCTTTCAAGCACGGTTGGAGTAGCATCATACTGTAGGGCTGTTTAGCTTCCAGTACTACTGATAAATTGCATATATTGAATTAAATAGAGGGCAACCCCCAAATTCTTTTATTCATCTTAAATCAACGACTAGACGGATGGACACAATAGGCTGTTCCAAAGGCAGGAGATAAAGGAGGCCCATCCAACCAGCCTTGCTTATGGGTTTTATGTCTGTCAGTAAAACCTGTGGATTTAAATAACCTCTACAATTCTGCCAAGAAGAGTGGTCAAACATCAAGCCAGAATTATGCCTGAAGACTGTTGGCTCCTTCAGACAGTCAATCAAATATTAGTGGATCACTGATGTTTTAACCCTCAATGTCTTGGGTTTGCTAAAGAGACCCTCAGATAGCTGTGGGGGATTTACAACACATCTGGAACTAAAGAACAGGGATAATACACATTATTCATGGAAACATTTCAAACTTTACCAGATTCTAAACTCTCAGAGTTCTCAATCCTTTATGTTCACTTTAGAATGTAAAATATTACAGTTCTTCACTACCAACCTATGGTTGATTTTTTTCTTAAATATCAACTTAAGCAATAAAACTACAAGACCACAGTGACAAACACAAGGAACAAGCAAGCAAAGAAGGAAGAACACCAGGAAGACATCAAGGTAGGATAATAGGAAAGAACGATGCATGGAAGGAGTAAGGTGGGATGAAATGAATAACAGAAAGGAGGAGAGTGAGACCATATGAGGAGCTGAGGGGAAAAGAAAATGAAGAATACAAGAAATGAAAGGAAGTAACCAAAACCTCACAGGGAAGGAAGGAAACAATGAGGAGGAAGAACAAAAAAGGGAAAAATACATAATTTTCTGAAGTCTTCCATTTATCTACACTTATACAGAAAAATATATCAAAATTGAGTCTTTTTCAGCGAGTGTAGAAGTCAAGTGAAATAGAACTTTGCCAGACATAGAAGAAGACTGTGAGAAATAAAAGTGCCTCATTTCTCACCTTCTAGGTGTGAAAACTGAAGAGCTATTCTTTACTATTGATGTTTTTCTAAGCGTATACGTACTTCCCCTCAGAGCTGTAGCTGTTCATGCTGCCATCAGTGGACTCCCTGCTGGCTTGGCGGTTCATGGCTGATCCTCCTCGTGGATACTCCACTGCCATCCCGGTCTCCACACTCCTTTGGATTGTGCTGCTGCCCGCCTTACTAACCTTCTTACCCGCCGGCGCCTCTGTGGTAAACACAGAGAAACGCTGTTAATCCAAGTGTCTTTTTAAACCAAGATTCCCAGGCCTCTGGCAACATCTGGCCAATTTCAAAGGTTTAACTTAAGGGAGAACAGCCCATGCAAAAGGATATCGGATGGTGACCTCACCAACATCTTATAGATATTAATGCACGATTGAGAAAAACTAAAATCTGCAGCATCTCTTAAAATCTGGGACGACTTTAGATCGTTTCACTTCCTACTGATTTGTTAAAAACCACGTTAGTTTTTGTTGATGAGGTCGCTGAATGGAGATAGATAAAATAAATAAATAAAAATTTAAACACAGGGTTCAACCATTCCAACAAATGTAAAGTGCGGATGTAAAATAAATAAATTAATAAAAATTAACAGATGAAAAAAAAGAGGGTTAAAATTCAGCTGAAAACCAAGTTAATAAAAAATTTCTAACATTTAGAGGAATGTCATATTGAAGTCACTCGGACACACTTCTTTTAAAGAACCTTGCTAAATGAACCTAAGTTTGTTATTGTTACTGGGGACACAGCACGAAGTAGGAGCACATCGTAGAGAAGTAAAAGAAGCATCGCGTTCCAAATCTCCTCTGATAAGAATGCGGAGCTGCATGCAAGCCTCTGTTCAAGAAGCTGCCTCAAGCAAGTTTTCCTTCCTGCTTTTAGCTGCGTTCATCTTTCCTACCTGGCTGTGCAAACTGGCCGATATCGATACCATACCGATACCATCTGTTTGAAATTGATGTGTGTGTGTATATATGAAAAATTGCATACTACTTGGATGTTAAATAATTGCCATCATGGCTTTGCGAAGCTGCTGCCTTCCTTTGTGAAGCAGGAAAAAGACTAATACAAAGTGAATCCAGTAGAACTTTTTATTGCCTACCTGGAACAGGTGACAATAAAACAGTTGAATAAACTTTTGGCTCGTGCCCTATTTGTTTGTTTGTTACTCGCCGATAACGATATCACCATTTTAGTGCAGTATCGGGGCCCCGTCTGATGCTGGTATTAGTATCGGTGCAACACTACTTGAAATTTTTTACTTTTTCTTGTACCTCTTGTGCCTCTTCCTTAAAGGTATTGTGGAGGATTTTTGCCAATTTTTTAAAAGACCCTCTCTCTCCACAAAATGTGCATGCATGAGCCTATTTCTCCTCGAGCATGCTCTGTTTAAAAGTTGCTGTTCTCATAGCTCCTACAAGCTTACTGTGTCCGAACATCCCCCCTAACCCCTAAATCCCTCAATCACTATATAGAGGGGGGACTATATAGTGGACTTTATAGTGAACTCAGTTAACTGACCGTTCGGACAGATGATGTCGCCGTTGTCGGGTAGTGACAGCGGGCTGCTGTGACAGCAAATCCCATAATGCTTTGCGAAGAGAGCTCTCTGCGCAAAGCAATCTGGGATATATATGCCTCTTCTGATGCCTTTATTTTCTTCTCATACACTTCGTAGACATTTTATCTTACGACCCTTGGCCATTTTCAAAGAACCGGGGCGAAAAAGGAGAGCTTCAAGGACTGTCTGAAACCGTAGCTCACTTCAAATATATGCCTGAAAGTGCGCATGCACAGAAAAATATTGCTAATGGGACAAGTACATAGAACTTACATAAATATATTACTAGAATGATTGACAATTAGGAGGACCACTTATTTAGATGATCCACCCGGAAATAAAAGATCTCTATTCTATACCTTTAAAAGTCAGATTTTATGAGTGAAGACTAAGAATCTATTCTTTCATAAAATTTGTCAGGGGTTTATGCAGCTCTGCCAGTGTTATTACAATAGGTTGAGTGGGAGGAGTTTTTTTTTTTTTTTTAGAGATACAAAAATAAATAAAGGTGAACACAAATGCATGCTTTGTTTCAGATTTTGGAGAGTTATGGACTGTGTTGTGTTTGCCACATTGAAGTTTGCACGTGTGACAAAAAGTGAAAAAGTCCAAGGAGTGTGATGCTATTAAAAGGCACTGGAGAACAGAACAGATATATGGCTGGAGGGTGGGGTAAGGGAGCGTGCCAGAGACAGGGACCAGGAAGGATTTACAGAGTCCTTTCTAACTGCACATCAGCATCTGCAGGTACTTGTTCTTCCTATGACTTCTTTTTTCTTTACATCTAGTGATGATTATCTGTTTCTTTAAGGTTATTAGTATTTTTCAATAATTCATAACCATTATATCTGTGAAGTAATAAATAAACTATAAATATAACCTCTTCTATATCCTTTTCTAAGCATCCACTCCTGCACACCGTAGTAGCATGCAGTATTTATGATGAGCTCATAGACATAGCATCCTTTATTATTGGATGTCCTGCCTGCTAAATTCCCTGCAGTGAAGGACCTCCTTCCTTTTGCTTTACCTTTCTGTCTGTCCGCCGCCTTACCCGCTGCCTCTGAAATAACACAGAACAACAACAAGAACAATAAACAACAACAATCTCACAGGTTTTTAATGTGTCCTCTTGATTCAGTGATCGTTTTCATTACTTGTTAGGTTTTTAAAAACAAATGCTTGAAGGACACTAACTGCTTGTTTTTACCAAAGTCAAGCAGTTATTGCTTTTATGTCAAGTGGTTGAGTGTTGACGAACACAGTCTGAAACTGGTCCCTTGGAGAACAAAGAAATGTATTTGTTTAAGAATAGATCACTCATCTTCAGTTGCAATCCAACATTTACATGTTCTGATTGTGAGTGCTACTTTTAGTGCTAGTGTTATAATTTTTAATCATTTGTTGTTTTAGTAATACATTTTTTAACTGTTCTTTTTAGAGCTTTGAAATATAAAACATCACCTTATGTATTCTTGGATTTAATTGCATTCACATGGAGGTAAAGTTATGAAAACAACTAAAATATGTACATATATACATATTAACTAGCTGTCTATTGATTATTCATTCTCCAGGTTGCACAGTATTTATATTGTAAAACACTGTAGAGTACAGTATTTTATTTGTTTATTTTCTTTTTTACTCTGTCACTTATTAGTGTAAACACCTTTTGAGGTCCACATTTGTGTGAGAACTTTGGCTATAATCTTTTGCTGCAGTGACTCAACAATTTCCCCATTGTGGGGCAATAAACAGATTTTCTATTCTATTCTATTCTATTCTATTCCATTCTATTCTGTACTCTTAATGTTCCTTTAGAGGTTGCACTTCAAACATTAAATGTTAACCTGTCTGATCCATTCTTTATGTGGCATTAAATTTATAATTTATAATATTTATCCTATGCTATTATTTGTTAGAATTTCTATTTTAACTTTAAATTAGCCTACCGATATTCACATAAAAAATCTTGCAAAACAAATCATCTTCTAATTAGTGAATAATCTGTTCATAGGTAAACTATAATATAAATTTAGTGATTTGTGAAAGCCTAAGTAAAATCAGAGAGAACGAAAGACAGGTCATGGATGAAGCTGTGGAGAAGTTTAAAGCTGGATTAGATAATTATGTCAAAGCACCGAACAAAACATCTGAAAAAGAGAAGAGTATCGCTTAAACTTGTGTCCTTTTCTTTCATATTTTTTTCATGTACCTAAATTTTCAAATTTACCTTTGAAAAATTGGCCTCCAAATGTTTTGACTTCCTATAACAATTAAAGCTGATATAGTGAGTCCAGCTGCTTTTAGGAAATTAAATATGCTCATTTGATCACATGACGCACCACTACTTTAAGCAGAGCTTGGTAGTGGTGCTGGGTCCATAATAAAACACTTAATTTTCAAGGCATCAGACTTACCTCTACTTTTTTAACTGATAATATAAAAAATGAGAGGTTCTTTGGGGAAGGCATGACAGTTGAGATATTTGACTGACCCGATGAGAGCTAGTGCCAAAAGCACTAATGTGTCATGTGATCAAATAAGCTCACTGGTTTCCTAAAGGTTGTTGTACTTGAATTAGGGATGTTGGCCTCTTTGGTCATGGAAGATCAGCGTATTTGCATGTGAATTCCTATTGGGAACATTTTGCTGTTGAGTTTAAAATAATAATAAAAAAAGAAAAATACATAATTAAACTGGATAAAAATACAGTGTTCTACATTCCTTGTCTGAGAAAAGTCTTGTCCCATCTTTCTTAGCCTATATCATATCAATCCTTGGAGGAAAAAAAAAATTGCTAAACTCTGGACTTTTTTTCTGACCTGTCTGGCTAATCTGTGAAGTACTCCGGCTCCGTCTCGACGGCAGGATGGCAACAACCCGTTGGCTCAGACTTGAGCGCCGCTTCTTGATTCCGCTCCCCAGACTCCCGAGGGCCGTGTCCGACTGGCTGCCATCGGCGTGCTCCATGCCGTAGATCTCACCGCTGACACTGGTGCTCTTCAGAATGTGGCGACCCGATGCACGTACAGCTCGGCTGATGGTCAGCATTTCAGACACATTAGTACTATGTGGATCACAGAAAGTCTATATCTAACTGTAGGAGTGTGTGTGGGTACCTGAAGCGACCCCGGGGTCTCTCTGACTGGATGGACATGTAGCTGGTGCTACTAATGCGAGAGGCACTGCTGGTTCGAGAGATGGCTGACACATCACTGACATCACTGTCTGAGGACTTATGGGATACATTTTCACTGCTCCTCCGCTGGTCCTTATAGAGCTGCAGGACACAAAGGATAAAAATGTTTCAGGCTGGTGTGTTTCACACGTACAGCAGTTCTCCATACATAGAATCTACATGGGCCCAGGTTAATTCACATCTGCCGAGGAGATGTGAATTTACCCCCCAAAAAACACTGCAGGTTCTTTAAACAGCTCACCAACATTGGACAGATAGATCTGCTCTCTAGTCCAGACTATACCATTACATAAGCATTCATCAACAGATCAGTAGCAGTTTAGCTTCGTGTCATTACAAGTCAGAGTCTTAAGTTGTTTCAAAGGCTATTACATATTGTAGTAGTGTGACTTTTTAACCTCCAAGGTAAGCTACAAATAAAGTAGCTAGTTACTGTGGTCTATGATTTGGTGCTGATAAAAAGCTGCTCCATTAATGTATAAAGCACTCAGTTTGCTACAGGAAGAGTAGCGATGACTCCATTAGTTTAATAGATAAGTGCTACAGCAACCTTACCTGAGGATCGCCCCTCAGGCAGCTACTTACTATTGTATCATTCACACCTACAGACAGTATCCTCTCCATGCCTCTGCCCATGTTATGTTTACCACATCTGTTAGAGGCCTGTTGTTTATCTTACCTGTCCTTCCTTTTATGTCCTTCAAGCCTCTAACCCAACAGAGCACCTAAATACGTTGGTGGCACAGCTACCCCATATATCACTATAGCCTATCAGCCGGCAAGACCTCTCAGGTCTTCTCGACTTTACTCTGTCTACCCAGATCCAAACATGGAGAAGCACAAAACTCGAACAAACTCCCAGAAAACTATAGAAGTACTGAAACCCTTAATTGTTTTAAATCATGATTAAAAACTTATTTGTTTAGAGTGCCCCTTCATTGTAATATCTAAACATTATTAAGGTTTGCAGTCTAGGTCTTTTTCATTTCATTCATTATTTTATTATGCTGTGTTATAAGAATTGTATTATTATAACTATTCATTTTTATTCACTTACATTTTGATTTATTTTTTAATTACCTTTATGCCGCTGCAATGTACTTCTCTTGGTTTTCCTGTTATGATCATTTTTAGTTTTTTCATGTACAGCAGTTTTAGCTGTCTTGCTACCTAAATGGGCTATATTAATAAACTTGCCTTGCCTTACAGAAGGCAGCACTCACATTTCTGTTTCTGGGGTTGCAGTGAAAAAAGGAATGAGGTCTGCTTACACTTGCCTTTTCTGTGACTAATCAACAGATGTACACATAATGGAGAATAGAGGGAAAATTATACATGACTACTGACATGTTTTAGTTTGGGTTTTTTTTTCTGAATTGCATATGGCTCTATGATGGCTTTGGAACCTGTGCCTCTTCACCACCATCTGCTTATGCTACAACTTGCAGGGGAGATGTAAAATGGCGGAGTAGCATGCATATATCCACGGAAATGCAAAAAGTGTTTTCTGTCTGCATTCATTTGAAATTGACTCTGATTATATCCTATCCTTAATCTACAGGTTCCCATTTGTTGTTGACCCCCATTCCCGTAAACTAATCTCTAAACATTGTCCACAAAGTTTAAGGTTGGGTTCATATTAAGATGAGAAAACCAGAAACGCAGCAGCAGATCTAATTCCTCCCAAAGGTATTCTATAAGGTTGAGGTCTGTTAAGTTTTTGAACACATGCAGCTATAGAAGTGACTTAAATATCTGAATTCATGGATTAGTTGACCCGGCACTGTTGGCATTACACTGTATGTGCGGATTGAAGGTTGTTTAGGATTCTTTTTTATTGTTTTCTTACAAAAGTTCTTATTGTGATACATTTTTTTTTGTTCAAAACTCCCCTCTTCAGGTTTTAGGACCCAATGAGACAAAACAGTGGTTGCTGACCTCTCTTTTGTTTCTGAGGGCTCTGTCTAGGTCCTGTTGGCTGGAGGTGGTGGCAGCTGAAATCCGGTTAGAATGAACCCTCATCTGGAGCTGACGAACACGCTCCTCTGCTACCAGGGCTGCATGTGTAGGATATAAAGAAAGTGATTAGCATCCATTCAATAATAATCTCAGGGGAAACTCTGTGGAGACCTGCAGCAAACAGTCTGAGCACATCCAGCTACTGAGTCCCAGAACCACAATCTCAGGGAGGCGGAACTCTGGGAGCAATCACAAGGAGTCATTTTCTTTAACGTCTTTAACTTAACAAATAACTAAATTACTGTAATTAATATTTACTTAGTTTTAAAAATTGTTTAAATGCAAACTTTAATACATATATCAGTATGGGTGAAATGTTCATTCTCTGCCTGTCTGATTTCCAACCTTCACAAATGCAAATCATTTAATTGCAAGTTTTGATGAAATGTTACAGCTGCTAAGGACTTCCAGGCAACATACATACAGAGCACTCATTGTGAGTGAGGTAAATAGGCTAATTCTGTCAAGAGTAGATTTTATACCTTTTGCAAACCTTTCCTTTCTGTAACACACTGCATTTCCAGATTGACTATGACATTTCAAATCACAATAAGATACATTGTTTTCAAAGGTAATATTATTGTATAAAAAGGTGGAGATGGACCTTGTGATGTTCAGCAGCTCTGTACAGTCTGCATGTAGGTGGCTTTTATACTCATTATTTGTTTCTTTTTATAGAATGTAGATTCCCAGAATCTGCCTTGTTTTCATGTTGTTTGGGGGGAATGCCAGTTAATGCTGCTGGTAGAGGTGTCATTTACCTGAAGACAAATAATGCACAACAAAGAAGCTGCAACCATTGTCTTAGTTTCTTTAAAACCAAAACAAGATGAGCATAGATACATTGGTTTTAAAAAGTTTTGAGATAAAAATTCAAAAAGTGTCATGTGTATTAGTGTTCAGCCTTTTTTTACTGACACCCACAAACAAAATCCCACAAAACAAATCATCTTCCAATTAGTGAATAATCTATTTATAGGTAAAATGTAATATAAATGTAGTGATTTGTGAAAGCCTAAGTTTATTAAAGTACATTAGTGAGCAAATAATTGCAGTAAAATCAGAGAAAACGAAAGACAGGTCATGGATGAAGCTGTGGAGAAGTTTAAAGCAGGATTAGATAATTAAGTCAAAGCACGGAACAAAACATCTGAAAAAGAGAAGAGTATCGCTTAAACTTGTGTCCTTTTAATTCATATTTTTTCCATATAAAACAAAACAAAGATACCTTCCAGTTTTGGTCTTGGATAACTTTGCTGAGGGTGAAAGAATAACCCAAATCAGCCCATTTTACTGTATCTATAACTACTACTGAGGTAGTGTGGAGCATTTTCTTTTCGCGTACCTTGTTCTACGGAGCTGCTCTGGGGTGGAAGCTGTGGAAGCTGCCTTGCTCTGCGTGCTGCCGATGCTGCCGCCGCTGATGACAGAGATGCACCACTGTGCAGATGACCCCTAACACAAAGCATGAGAGCCACAGCAGACAGAGAGAAAATATGAGTATTATAGTGAATACAAGCAAGCTGGGACAAGATGGAGGTTAAAATTGAAAGGAGGAAAACATGTGGAAAAGTTAAGCGGTAAAGCCAGAGGAGCAGCAGACTGCTAAACCTGTAGAAAACTAGATACAAAATCCCAACAAAGCAAATGCAGATACTAGATACCGAAGAAAAAAAAAAAGCTTCTGGAAAAGCTAATTTCATAAACACCTTCATCCTAATAATAAAAAAGGTTTCACGGATTTGGGGGGAGTTCTGTTGACCAATGGAGCAGTGGAGAAACAACACTAGAACAATGATACGATGAGAACCACAACAAGAACATCCACACAAAGTTAGATCAACAACATCAGCATCCAGCTGAATGAGGGGCAACTACTGACCAATTCTCTAGCTACCATTATTCAGGGCCTGGTGAAACCTGGTGAGGTGGCCTCCACTGTGGCGCATACACTCGATGGTCACTCACTGATGCACAAACACATAGTTACCATACAAACCCTGTAATGTAAATTAGCAGCGTGCAAAGCAAAATTGGAACAAAAAAAGGAAAACAACACAGCTTAGCAACTGTAGATATTTTATAATAAACACCAGTGTTATGATAATCATCACCTAAACATGTGTAAGAGTATACTGAAAAGCTCAGGTCTTTTCAAATTCTATTTTGTATTTAAAACAATTACCCCTCCACCCAAATTAGGGTATTAAGAAACACTTAGGATGAGCAATAAAAGTACAGGTGCTGGTCATAAAATTAGAATATCATGAAAAAGTAGATTGATTTCAGTAATTCCATTTAAAAAGTGAAACTTGTATATTATATTCATACATTACATACAAACTCATATATTTCAGATGTTTATTTTGTTTAATTTTGATGATTACAAATGACAACAAATGAAAATCTCAAATTCATCATATCAGAAAATTAGAATATTGTGAAAAGGTTCAAAATTGATGGCCCCTGGTGCCACACTCTAATCAGCTAATTAACTCAAACCACCTGCAAAAGCCTTTAAATGGTCTTTCAGTCTAGTTCTATAGGCTACACAATCATGGGGAAGACTGCTGACTTGACAGTTGTCCAAAAGACGACCATCGACACCTTGCACAAGGAGGGCAAGACACAAAAGGTCATCGCTAAAGAGGCTGGCTGTTCACAGAGCTCAGTGTCCAAGCACATTAATAGAGAGGCGAAGGGAAGGAAAAGATGTGGTCGAAAAAAGTGTACAAGCAAGAGAGATAACCGCACCCTGGAGAGGATTGTGAAACAAAACCCCTTCAAAAATGTGGGGGAGATTCACAAAGAGTGGACTGCAGCTGGAGTGAGTGCTTCAAGAACCACCACACACAGACGTATGAAAGACATGGGTTTCTGCTGTCGCATTCCTTGTGTCAAGCCACTCTTGAACCACAGACAGCGTCAGAAGCGTCTAAAGAGAAACAGGACTGGACTGCTGGTGAGTGGTCCAAAGTCATGTTCTCTGATGAAAGTAAATTTTGCATTTCCTTTGGAAATCAAGGTCCCAGAGTCTGGAGGAAAAGAAGAGAGGCACTTCATCCACGTTGCTTGAAGTCCAGTGTAAAGTTTCCACAGTCAGTGATGGTTTGGGGTGCCATGTCATCTGCTGGTGTTGGTCCATTGTGTTTTCTGAGGTCCAGGGTCAACGCAGCCACATACCAGGAAGTTTTAGAGCACTTCATGCTTCCTGCAGCTGACCAACTTTTTGGAGATGCAGATTTCATTTTCCAACAGGACTTGGCACCTGCACACAGTGCCAAAGCTACCAGTACCTGGTTGAAGGACCATGGTATCCCTGTTCTTAATTGGCCAGCAAACTCTCCTGACCTTAACCCCATAGAAAATCTATGGGGTATTGTGAAGAAGAAGATGCAATACACCAGACCCAACAATTCAGAAGAGCTAAAAGCCACTATTAGAGCAACCTGGGCTATCATAACACCTGAGCAGTGCCACAGACTGATCGACTCCATGCCACGCCGCATTGCTGCAGTAATACAGGCCAAAGGAGGCCCAATTAAATACTGAGTGCTGTACATGCTCATACTTTTCATGTTCATACTTTTCAGTTGGCCAACATTTCTATAAATCCTTTGTTTTTATTGGTCTTCAGTAATATTCTAATTTTCTGATATGATGAATTTGAGATTTTCATTTGTTGTCATTTGTAATCATCAAAATTAAACAAAATAAACATCTGAAATATATGAGTTTGTATGTAATGTATGAATATAATATACAAGTTTCACTTTTTAAATGGAATTACTGAAATCAATCTACTTTTTCATGATATTCTAATTTTATGACCAGCACCTGTAATTGCTTAAATAGTCACAAAATAGACGATAAACAAACATTTTAACCAGATTTTTAAACTCTGTTTAAAAACTCCTTATTGTTTTTTACACAAATATTCACACTGTTCAGAGTGTTCTCATGCAGTTTTTTATTTTATTTTAATTTTTTTACATTCAATAGTTAAGATTTATTATAAATATTTTCCAAACCTTACATGAAAACTAAGATTTTAATGGCTTTTTTCCACACAATTTCAGTATTTGTCGTTTTAGAAAGATGCTTTAGCTTTGGAGAAACATGTATCTCACCTATGCAATAAATACGTAGCTGACTTAATCTCCTAGATAATGTTTGTTCTATTTATAACTCAAGAACGTTTTTTTAAATGGTGCTTAGGTAACATTTTTAATCACATCAAATACAGCAGAGTCTATAATTATGCAAAATGTTTTACATTCCAGGAAAAAAACTAAAACAGAAAAAAATTTGTGAATCTTAAGTTCTGCTTTCTTTTAAACATGGAGAGAGTTTTACTTTACCTTTTACTTTAACAAGGACTGTGGAAAATAGGACAGTGGAAAACGTAATGCTTACAAAAAGCTGAGAAACGTTTTCTCTTTATATCAAAGTTTCTAAGAATCGTCTTGAAGCTAATTCATGAAGAAATGAGTGTTGGTTCAAGATTTTAACACCGTCTGATCCAAACATCACTGCCAATTACAATAACTATCAGTGCTACATCACCACAGAAATACCAATCAAAAGTAAAAGAAAATCATTTCACTTAACAGGAATATGGACAAGTCCTACCCTTCCTATTTCCTCCTTACTAAAACTTTAAACACTATGCATAATGAGGAAAAAAGGTTTCAAATAAGGTCAGTGTAGTTTCATTTCAGATAACGTACTTCCTCCACTGAGCTGCTTTTTATGTTTAAAGGGGAATCTTCACATTATATATCTATACTAAAAAGACCAAAAACCATTTAAACACAGTACAATAAGGACATATACACCAAGTGACCATCCTGATAGTGCTTGGCCTGTCTTCTTTGAGCTTAAATAGAATTCCAGAACTGGTCACCTTGAGCAGGAAAACAGACATGCTACCATTTGTCAGCAGCACCACTGAACAACCAGAAACTTAGATGGTGGTCATTAATGGAGCTACATAATAAAGTCTGACCAAGCTGCAATGCCTCGCAGAACAGCGACAGCTCTGTGTGGTAACATACCAGCTTACATTAAAAAAATTATCTGTTCTACACCAACTCTGACTTCCAAGACCCTCCTACTAGAACATAAAATAAAAATAAAATTACCTCTCCAACCAAAGGCAAACAGGGACTCAGCATCAAGGTAAGAAGTATTTAAATTAAAAATATTTTTTAAAATGGCAAAGCCTTTTCATTAGACACCAATTAAACTAAATAAAATGCTATTTTCCTGGTAAGTGATTTGTTGATCAGTCCTGAAGTGAATCTTAGCTTAATTTTCTGGATTTTTTTACAGATGTGACAGAAAACTGCAGGAAAATTATGCTATCAATTGCATCTGTTCGCATCTGTCAAAAGACCATTGTTACAGAGGGCTTCTTGTTTGGTCCTATGCAACTTTGGAAGTTAGAGAAAAGAGCTTTCTCCTTCAATTCCTTTAAAACTCAACACGCTTGTTCAGTCTTTTCTTTAAAACATAAACCAGGAGTTTTATTTCCTCATAGAACTAAATAATATGACCTAAATAAAATACGCTGAGACCTGTACTTTACAACTCTTACAATACATGTTTTCCACCTGTGAATAATCTATCTATAGAATGATGGACTTGATTATTGGAAGATGTAAGAGGCTTTTTTTCCCTCTCTCGGATCAAAAACAGACCAGTTTCCTCTATGAGGCTATTGCTATCTTTCCACACCAACATTGGACTGATAATCTTATGCAGGTCAACTGCAATTTTTGATCCATAGGATTATTCTAGATGAAATCATTGAATTTAACTGACTTTTATTTTTGTAAAGTGCCTGAAACCTTATTAGTTGGTAATTTTTCCTATGTAAAAAAAAAATTGAAACCTCAATAACTCTACCAGCCCCCCTGCAGAAGATGCTTGTTAAAAACTGGTGTCTGATATTGTTGCAGAGGTGAGCTCCATCTGCCTTTGAGCATTTTTGACATGTGCTGAGTCTACAGTACATGTCTTACCTGCCTCTGTCAGACCGCTTCCTGCCAAAAGTCTGACATTCTGGGATTTCCAGGGTCCGAGGCTGCCTGGAGAATGGCCGATGAGCAAAGGGAATGACACAAAAAAAAGAATAAAAACATGAATGGATGGATGTGTGGATGGGAGATAGATTTTAAACTCCTCCTTACAGTTTATGAACTTGTATATAATCTGGAAACAGAGGCCTGTTGTAATGCATTGTGTAGTGGAACCAAAAAATGTTTCATCGTGGCCCACATGCATGCGAATGTGTGCACTTCAGTGTGTGAGTACCTCTTCTTTGTACTGAGGTGGATTAAAGTCTCTTCAGATGGAAGTAGCATCCATATTCTCCATTCATGGCCATAAAGACGACAAGGATGATGTATGTGCCACCACACACACAAAAACACAGACACACTTATGATATGAATAATGGATGTCACATCTTCTCTGAGCAAAAGGGCTTGGGGACACAGAAAACAGAAACAGCAACACTTCTCAAAGACTGAGAGGAGCAAGCGCAAACACAGTAACTGCAAATTCCCAGAACTGAAAAAGTGGACTATAAGAAGCAAACACAGCAGGAAGCGCACACCACAGCCAGATCCAACAACTCCAAGATAAAAGCGACACAAACCTCGCACAGAAAGTCGTGAAGCAAAGAGAGGAAGTCAAGAGAAAACTAAAAGCGACCACAAATCACAACTAAAAGCTTCGGCTATTTTTTCTTATCAGAGTACAAACTGAAAAACACCACTGGCACATAAGTCTGCACAACCCTTCACAAAATGTGGGCAGCACTTTGTAATAAAATAGGGAGATTAGAGCTCGTCTGTGCCTGGGAAGGCATGACAAGCTCTATATTATATCATAAGTCCTTCAAACTGTTCTCAGCTCAGCTATTACATCACAGCCAACAGGAGGCCACAGAGTTTGCAAGTGACAACCGTAGCTTGTAACTTTATCTTGTATTTGTCAACAGCATCATTGCAACTGACTTTTAAGGGTATAAGTTGTTCACTTCAAGTTGTGTCAAGAAATAGCAAAAGTGAATTAAAATAGATTAGGCTAAAAAAAAAAGTGCTACTATTCTGGCAATTTAACTGACAAAAGTTAAAGGCCGAGAGATTGCTGTTTCCTTCCAAAACTTTGACCCAGTTCTCCTTGAATTGTCTGTGTAGCCTTTAGATTGTGCCTTAAGATTTGTGCTATATACAGTAAATAAACTGAACTGAATATATTGATATATCTGATGTTTTTCTTTTCACTTTAACAGTTCATATCTAATAAAAATGTAATGTTAATTCCTATATTTAAATTAATTGAAATAAAATTGTTAATAGTTAAGATGATTAAGTTATGATCACACAAAAGATGACTTGTTTGCGAGGTTAAGAGCATCGAGGAGTGCCTTAAGGTCACCAGACAAGCGCCACAAGGCGAGCGCTATAACACAGGATGTGTCCAAGCTGCAGCCATACACTCTTAAGAAAAAATGGATCATTAATTATTGTACGCAGGCAAGTTATTTGGATGCTGCTGAATGAAAACAGGTGCTGAAGGAAAGGGTACTCAGCAATCTTGAGAGAATTTTGAAGTAAAGTACATTAAAGAGTTTGGGGAGATTCAGAAGCTGTGAATTCCAGTTGGATTTGGAGCTGCAACATAGCCCTCCTAGGATATGGGCCACAAATGTTGTATTAACTTCTCCTGAACTATAGACTCTCACCTGGAATTAGGAGAAAAACCACTGGGCTGACTGGGCTCAGTGGTCCAGAGTTCTATTTTAGGACAGAAGCAACGTTTACTTTTTTTTTTTAACCAAGGTCCCACAGTCTGGGGGATGTTTAGGAAGGTGCAGACTCCATTACATTATGTACTGTGTTGTGTAGCCAGGTCATCTGTCTTTTCTGAGGTCCAAAGTCAGAGCAGCTCTTAATCAGAAAATCTTAAAGAATTTTCGGCTTCCTTTTGCTTACAGCCTCAGTGGAGATTCTGAGCCAGCAGGACTTGGCACCAGCCCACACTGCTTAAGTGCTGCAGCTGCTTTAATTACTATGGTCTCACTGTGACTGATAAAGCACAAGACGGGAGACAGCAGAGCCAACATAGCAGGCCATTATTAAAGTTATGTGGGCTTCCTTAAAACCTCAGTAGGAAGACAGGCTTATCACCTCCCTTCCACGCTGCGCTGATGCATTATTTCATGCAAAATTAGCCCAAACCAAACGCTAACTTGGTCACAGCTATATGCAATAAATTTCACAGTGTTAAATATGCAGTGTCAAAGTAAATTGACTCTTTTAGAGTTATTACGACTGGAGTAATACACTATCTAGGGAGTTAATTCAACATTGATTCAAACTGGGACTAAATGCAAAAGTATTGGCTTTTTGACTCTTTAAGTGTTACTTTAACACTGCAAAATTTACTGCATGTGTAATTTAGAAATTCTCAACAGTAGACCAACAATTGTCTGTTACAGCTGTTTTTATTATTAGTCATGTGTAAAAGTAATTTTCTGAGAAACAATTTTTTTTGGTCGTCAGTAGTTGTTGGCCATGATCACATTAAAACTAGGAAGCACATTGTCACTCTCAGTTAATCACTCTGCATGTTCTATATCTGTATGAGTTTCACTTTTTGAATAGAGTGACTGAAATTAATGGCTTTTTGACATTTATATTTATTAAGATTCAGGAGTCAGCTGGCAGATTGCTTTCTTTGTTTAGAAACATACACACACAAAAAAAAACAGTCCAGCTAGATAAATATGGCCATCTAATAGTCTTATTTCCTACTTATTAGGTTAGTTCTAAACATCTCCACTGATAAACGAGGCTAAAGCACCCTTGAAGGAAGGATATGATTTGAATGTATAATGTAGAGGAGTGCCACTATAAAAATAGATCTAGAATGGGCATCAAAGAGAAAAAGTGTTGACATCACCAGTGGAGTGATATAGCAGGTCCCAAAGCATCCAATGTTCAGTCATTCATTGATGTTGGCTGGTTTCATTAGACAACATTAACAGTACTTGATGCAGGGGGTTACACTTAGACCTTACTACCAAAGACGAGCCGCGTAAAGATGGGTGCCCTTGTGGCATACTGTTTTCCTGTTTGTTATAATGTGCAAAACTTGTTAAGTGTATCATAGACATAGCTCTGTATAACATAGCCAATAAAAAATAAATAAAAAAAATCACTGACTATGCACTGGAAATTGTACATCCGTACAGTTCTTTATGTCTCTAAATGGGCAGTGGATAAAACCATCCAGGGTCATGCAAACCAGAATTGATGGCATCTCACACCCCAGGTGCTGCTAATGTCCTGTAATGTATCTGAGGCTTCATCTGTGTCTGATTTTTTTACACTTACCATTTGACCTGTCTAAATTCAGAACTTCTTCCCCTTCTTTTCGTGACCATCATTTAAAAAAGTGAGAAGGAAAAAGAATAGCTGTAGGATATTTTTAACTTAAACTGTTACAGCTGAGTATACTGTAGAATAATTCACTGTCATTTGTGACTTCATCAACGTATTTGAATTGACCATTGGATGCTTCTGTACCTTGTTCAACACTGCGCTAAAATGACACAGCTTGTACCTACTGATGTCTGATTTCTCATCTGCTTGCAAAATAAAACCTTTTAAATACAACTCTTGGCTTAATTTGTGTACTACTGTACACCACATCCAAATCTATCAGTCATTCTAAGGGCCTGACTATTTTTTCTGTTGAAGTGAGTAAACTTTCTAAATCAGAATATCCTGACAGAGTAAGATCAAAAGTTTTACGTCAATATTATTTAACTTTGATTACACCCAAGACCATCATTTGCTGTTATTTTACACTTAATGTGTTGGATACAAGATAAAGTCACTTGCTACATGATTGTCAGAAAGGATATTTAGAAAAGATGTCTAGAAAGGTTCACTAGAAGCTATCACAAAGATATCAGCTCTCAGCAAAAAGATTGGAGCGAACATAGAGCTTGACATCTGCCCGAACCTACTAAGGCCAACTGAACCAAAGAGATGCTGAGTCAGCTTTTAGCAAAAACAAATTATGTTGCAAAAGAAATAATAAATACTATATAAAACAGAGAAATTAAAAGTAAAAACAGATTTTTTTAAGCACTTTAATGAAATAAACAGATACCCTTTTTGATTGTTTGGGTCATACTGGCATCAGATTTTAAGGCACAAGTCAAGCTCCAAAAGGAAGCAGAGGAGCATCCACAAGAGACTACCTGTCATCTTCAGGGGAAGCATGTTGGATAAGAATCCTGGGACTTGCCGGACGTCTCCGAGGCAGGGATTGGGAGAAAGATTTTCTACATGTACACATACAAAATATGTCACCCAGATACCAACATCGGAGTGCAAAGCTTTTCTTTCATCACTAAAAACCTTGATTTGTCACACAGCTGCCAGTAGTTCTGAGGCTGAATGCAACCAGCAAAAAAGGATTTCATCTTCTTTTAACTCTATTATATAAAAGTATCACAAAGAGTGTTTCTCATTGCCTGGTTTTTAAGTGAAAGACACTTCAAAAATGCAGACATCAAATGGATTCAGGTGTTAATGCTTCAAGGTGAGTATGAACACAATGAATGATAGCGACCCAAGTGTTTTGCAATGTCAGCTGAGATGCAAATAATGCTTGGCACAGTGATAACTCCCATCCTATGTACCTTAATGATGTTAGGGGTTATTTTAGAATTATGAAGGATTGAAGCTAAGCTAACCGCATGTTGAGCAGCTGAGCTCAAAACTGGATTGTAAACCGTCTTTCTACAACAAGACAAGCATCCTGTCCATGTTGGTTGTAATTTGGTAAATTACATTAAAAAAGCTACAGAAAAGTTCAGAGTAACAGTCCCTTAGTTAAAAATTTGAAGGTAAACCAGTGGAGTCTGCTAAATGGTATTTGTTAATCATATACAGCAATGGGAAAAAGAAAGACCCCATTAAGAAACACTTTGAGAACATTAATCAGCTATCAGTGATCATATGCTTTATGGCTTTTACTTTTGGCAACATTGCTTCAGTACATTCAAAGTAATTTCATTTTTCTCCCCTGCATGCATCTTTTAAAGGGTCCTAGTCACGTATTGCGCCTATAACAGCCCACCCAAAAAATAAATAAATATTCTTCTTGTTCTTGTAGTCCTTTTTAAGCTTGAAATTCTTTGCACCACCCACAATCAGCAGACTTAGGCATTGTACGCCGTCACGACCTCAGTTTATTGTCATGCATTCATCAACCCAACAGCTTTGATAGTTTCTGCTTCCACATAGTCCTAAGTTCATATCGTCTTCTGAGTGCTACTTGTGTTTAATCATGTGTTTGCAGTCCAATTATTGTTGCACTTTTTCAAGCTGCCACTAGGGAATTGCTGACTTGCTTGGCTCTATAACTTCCTTCCTCATTCATTGCACACATGTGCAAGAGTTTAACTTCGGTCACTTGGTCTTTGCAAGGTAAATACACAAAGTACTTATGTTAACTAACAAACAGACGGAAAAAACAAGAAGCAAAACAGAAATAAAATATAATAATAAGGAAACAGTGTTATAACTTTACTGGAAAGCCTTTGTATTCACCCAATGAGCTACTTATGAAACATTCATAGTCATAATATGTGACTGGGTCCTTTAAGGCCCCACCACAGCATTTCAAACCGGTAGAGGTCTAAAGTTTGACAAGGCCAATGCAACAGCCTGATTCTGTTGTCTATTAAACAGTCACTGTGTTGCAGATTTGTTCATGTATTTTGGGACCCTTGTCCTAAAGATTTGTTTTGGGTCAAACTCTCACTACTGAGCTGAAGGACACATTTAACTAGAGAATACTTGAGTATCTGAGGGAGTTCATCTCTGACTGAATGACTGCAAGATTCTCATTAGCTTTAGTTGAACAACCAGCCTATATCACCCCTCCTCTACCATGTTTGAAAGTCCATGGAAGATGTTTTTCCTGATCTGCTGTCTTTTTTTCCAATCAAGGAGTTGTGCATTATGAACAAATACCCAGAGCCACATGACATTATTCTTGAAGTTATGTGGGTCATATTCAAACCTACTTTAAACTTAAGTTGCAGTCCTATGTGTATTTGTTTTAAAGAGTTTATCGTCTGAAATGCTCCCAAAATAGCCATAGTTGTTTGGATCCTTACTGATTGTTGTTTCAAGTAGGATCTAAAGACTCTGAGATGGAGCCCTGCTTATATGGGTTCTCTTACTGTATGCCTGAGACTACTTGTACAAATGAAGGTTAAAAAAGTAAACAAGACAATTGGAGCATTTCTTCACTAGTGTAGCTAATTTGCTGGACTATTCTTTATTGGGAAAACTAGCAATTTTCTTGAATGTATTTCCTTTCAGAATAATCCATTTTTGTTTTTTGGTGGAGATATTGTGGAAGTTTCTTTTAATAACTCTTTTCAATTTGAAAGGGCAGCAAAAAATTTATCTTTAATAATATTGTAAACTCGTCGTGCACCAAACTAACCTACTTTGTATCTTGACCAATGATAACTTATTCTATTTCAACTAGCAGCTCTTAATTTTTTTGATTTTTTTAACTTAAACTATATGAATGCAACAAGGGTGGTCACAGATTTCCCATCGCTGTACTCTCTGCAACTTAATATACAACTTCAAGGATTCAGTCCATGTGCAAGATCTGTAAGAAAAATAAAGAGGGCCAGGCGCAAGAGCAGGGTAAGTGAAAAAAGGGTAAAAAATCTGCTAATGTGAAGGATCGTACAGGGAAGAGGGGACTACAAAAAAACAGGGGAACTAAAAGGATCTACAAGGACTGGGCGGGAGCAGAGGCTGGTACCTTTCAGTCTCTGGTGGGGGGACATGATTGTCTGGAGTGAGACAGTTGGCGCTAGCACTCTTAACCCTGTCCAGGGTTGGCTGAAGATCACTAGATGCACGACAGCAAAACATGCCATCCAATAGAGGAATAGAAGGAGAAAGGAAGAGGAGACAAAGGGACAGGACAGAAACAAAGAGAAACAATGGACAAACAGAAAAGGTTTTTCAAAGAATGCTTGGTTACATTCCCAAAATGTTTAACCTAAAGCATGACTGGTAGGGTTAAGGATGGGAGTCTGCCTATGTTCTGATGAAGTTGAGAAAAAAAATATAATTGTAATGTTAATGATTATTTTTACTTCTTACCAAAATTTGATTAGTGCCCAGGATGGTGAGCCGTGCTGTTCAGACCACCACTGGTTGTATAGTAGCTCAGCTTTGATCATGCATGAAGCGGGAAACTGGTAACAAAACATGCAAACTATTCTAATATGCAAAAGCTGCTTTGGAGATACTCACATCTTGTGTCCATTTTACACAAAAATACAGATTTCATGTTGCAAGGACATGAAGAAAGTTTCAGTGAAACTACCAGAAGACCTGCTCTATCAGTCAGATACTCACCAACTGTACAAATCAGATCCAACTGGAACAGCTAGTACAAAAAAGGACAATTCTACAAAGAAAGCCTCCAATGTGAAGTCTTATTTTAAAGGAGGGTTGACTCCTTAAGTTATTTTACTTTAAAAAAGGTATTCTAATGACTGTTGTTTTCAGTGTTGACCAACTCCCTTAACCCTGAAGGTACTTAAGGGTATTTCGGAAGGCTGGGGTTTCCAGATCACTGAAGTTTTTTTTTCCTGTTTCTCATATACCAATTACTTATGATAAAAGTATTTTAATTCTACATATGTTTTTAACAAAAATATTCAAAACCGGTTTAGTTTTGCACATTCTATCTAGTTTACATTAATTATTACTTAATATCAATACTGGAGACTGATGTTAGCAGAGCATCCAAAAATTAATATGTAATTTGTCTTGTTAATTCCAAGCATAGTGAACCAGTAACTGATACACCTACCTTGTCTCTTTGTAGGTACCATTGGACAAAGTTATTCCCTCTTTCATTGAATCTAACAGAAAGTCTAATTTGAGCATGCAAATAAATGGATAGAAGTGTAAGACAGAGGAAAGAGTGCAACAAGACAGAGAGTGGATATAAACATCAAATGAAAAAGAAACCAGGACTTATTGAATGTTTAAACATAGCATATTTGAGCAAAGCTGATGCAGAATCAAAATTTAACTTATTTGTTTTCTTAATTAACAGCAAAGTACAGCAAGGAAAATAAGCGTTCACCAAGTCCAAGTTCTTCTTTTTGAATTTTTTTTTTGTGGCATATTTATATAATTCCTACTAGATTTCTGCAACAATTCAAGTAATGGTCACATAGAAATAAAATCAAAACATTTTTCCAACTAAGCTGCCTATGTTCACTAAAATTAAATGGGCAGTAAAAGGCTTAAAAAACTACTGAGGATTCCTTTTGCTTTTCCACTTTATCATACAAAACAGTATTTGCTTTGACCTCTTTGAATGTGAGAAATACTTGAGTTGCTGCAGTCATCCGGTGTGAACTTCAGGTGAGCTTAGTGAGAAAAATGTTTGACTTGTTTTCACTAGGAACATTTATATCTCAGAAATGAAGCATTTCTGTACATGCTGTAAAACACTCAGCATGTCTCTAAAAATGAGGGAACATCAATGGCAAAGCTTGCAGGTGGAAGCAAATAAAGCACAGCACTGAAATATAAGCAATGCAGGTCTGACCCAGTGAGACCCACTTCTCCATTGAACACATCTGTGTATGCACACAATCTAAAACCTCCCTCAGATATGTCTTTAGAAAAGAACACAGATGAGTTCTCAAGAGTTAGACTTACCTCTCTTTCTCTATGCTAAAACAAGACAATAAGACCCCTGTAGATGTAACTTTAACGTATATATCAGGCAACTACTGTATTATAATAAATAGCCAACGTTTGTGTTGGTGAAACTAAATGAAAGAGAAGACATGAACTAATTCAATAATCACTCAGCACTTTACTCCTAATGGAATCTTAGAAAAACAACACAACCAAAAACCTTTGGTGCCCTCTTGTGGACCTGAAGCAGCAATACAGCAGAACAGTCCAGGGAATCCCTCTAACCAGCAGGGTGGCTGAGTTTTAATATGATGCCTTTCTGTATGTTTTTTAATTATTATTTGACATCAGGTAGACGACAAATGGAATATAAAACTGGAGACCAATTTAAAGCAAGTTTTTTTTTTTTTTACAAGCATTTGCTTTCTGCAAGCATAGCATGTAATTAAACACAGCATTGAAAACCTTTTAAATGAAATGCGATTAGAGAAAAAAACACCAAGCACATGATAATGCAGCTCATCTGAAACCTAATATGCCAACTACATGTCAGGAGTGGCCAGTTTACCTCGTGTGCAGGCACTCGGCACTTTTGCCGCGCATTGACTGGTGGATCAAGATGACCTCACTGTGGTTACCATGGGGATGGATGACACATGAGGAAATTAAGAACAGTGAAAAAACAGAAAAGCAGAAGAAGTAAAGGATGTGAACAGGACAGAGAACCTGTTGCTAACGTTCTTCAAACAAACTCAGAAATAGTGCAGATTTTTATAAGGGCTTTTTTGTTTTCACACACAGCGAGTAAGTGTAAAAACTGGCAGATATTTTAGAGCGACAGCACTAAAACACTCAAAAACAAAACACTTGTGTAAATAAAAGGTAATAAAATGTAAATTAATTAAAGCACATTTACACCTACAAACTGGAAGCAGAATCTCAATTATCAGCCAAAGAAAGCAGATAAAAAAAAACAATCCTGAGGAACTTGAGGCACCATATCTTCATTATCTACAGTACAGTGCCTTGCAAGCATTCAGACCCCTGAACCTCATCATTCTGTGTCACATAGCCACAAACATCCATGTATTTTGATAAGGTTGTGGGTGTTGAATAAACACAACTGAAAAAAATTGTTGAAACACGAGTTTCTATTTTTTTAAACATAAAATTTTCTAAAAGGGTTTTGTTGCATTTGTATTAAGTCCCCTTTACTCTAATACCTCAGAAATAATGGATATCTGATATCTGATCCAGGGACTGGATCAGTGCATCTCTAACGATCCCCAAGGTGAAACATGGTGGTGGCAGCATTATGCTGTGGGTATGCTCTTTGTCAGCAAGGAGAGTAAAGCTGTTCAGAGTTCATAAAAATAAGTTTAAAACTGCCAAATGCTTCACTTAAAACGAGAGTCACTAAAGAGGGGGATAAAGGATAAAGAAAGAAGGAAACAAAATTTCATAGAAATCTGCAGATACAGTACAATGTGGGGCAAACCATGAAAATTAAATGGGTGCGAATACTTTGGAAGGGTCCATATACAGAGGTGAGAGTTTCCACACATTTACACAAACCTGTCGTCCAAGTAATCCTCCCCCTGACGCCGCCCTCTGGAGTTCTCGCAATAGCGGTTTGGAGACCGGGAACGCCGAGAGTGAGGAAGCTCGTCATCCAAACTCCTGAAAGACAGACGGACCTCAGTCAGGTTGGTAGTCGGGCTATGCTGCAGCAGCCTATGTGTGAGGCTCATTTGGCTCAGCCTGTAAAAGCAGAGCTGGCAGAACTGCCTGTTCTGCATCATGCTGCCATTTCATTAACAGATGGACTCTACCTCCTGGCTTCTGATAAAATCTACTCTTTTCTTCTGTGGTTTAGGCTTTGTTGACTTGCAAGTGAAATATTAGTAAAAACAAAAAAAATTTGCCGGTCTTAGGGTCTGACCTCTGGGTGGGGACATTGGGTGCTCGGGACCGGATGGTGCGCCCCTGCTCCTCACGGTGAGGGGACACGGAGCGGGAGCGGATGTGATGGGAAGGCGTCCGCTGTTGATCAGGCACCTCCAAGGTAGACGTCGGTTCCCGTTGCCTCTCTCTGCCACGCCCATCTGCTGCTTGGCACAATAGAGTTATGCACAAGTTTACACACAGTAATACCAACTAAGGTGTAGAAAAGGTTTCTACATCAAACACAATACACTTATATTTTAAATAGCTTAGAAGTTTGGAAATGTACAATGATCTCTGATCATTTAAAGGCTACATCCACTTCTCTAAAGGTTCGACAGAAGTGGATGACACTAAAACTGAATGTGTGATGCTCCAAAACTGAATGGCTGTATTTCCTCACCAGCATTTAGTGATTAAGCTCTACTGAGGCATTGAAAGGAGTCCCTCTTATGTTGGAGAAGGGAGAATGTAAAAGTTGCAGGATATAATCTCTCTAGGCCTAGACTTGGGCACCAACTTGATTGTAGTTTATTAACTTTAGTTCAGCTACTGGAGGTTAATCAGAATTTATCAATAACCATGAAAATGAGAAATGTATCCAATTTTGGATAAACAAAGTATTACTTTAGCAAAAAAAGTATTTTGTAGAGCCATTTATAAATCAGATTTGCTGTCCTCCTGGCTTGCATGCACAGATCTTTCATGTGATATTAGCTTTTTGCAAAACAAAACCAACATTTCAATTTTCAGTTGAAAATTGGAAGTTAGGCAAGAGAACCTCTAAACATGAAGCAAGAAAACAGGGCAGATCGCAGTGCATGTAACCATGAGAAAGAGTCCCCACCCACCTTTAGAGACTAGTGCTGTATGCTCATCAAATTCAGGATCTGTTATACGCTGAGAACCTAAACGGTCATAAATACACACACACATGCACACAGATATATGAATGCAACACAGACGTACAGATGCATGTATTCCTGGTAGGTAGGAAGCATCAACTAAGGCTGATAAAAAAAAAGACAATAACTTTAGATTTTAAACTTTGTTTCACAACAATAATAGATAATGTGTACACTCACACACACACAGATGGGAAATATGAATGTTATAAAAACAGAGGAAAACTTTTGCAAGCTCTGACTTACGCTGCAGCTTCTTGCCAGGAGCGTCTGTGTTTCGTCTGGGCAGGAAGGGGGAGGGTCGGGGCAGTGGGATCGATGAGACATCATGGGTTTGAAGGGGATACCAGTGAGGCTTGTCGTCAAGTAAGGCCGTCTCCAGCTCAATCAGGATCTGTTCAGGTCATGATCCAAACAAGGAGGTACGCTACTCAGTGCTGCTGGTTGCTCGTTTGACCAAAGCTTTTACATTCTAATGACATGCATGTCAGAACCTGGACTATCAGAATGGGTGTATTACCTTGTGAGAACAGGGAAAGGTCCATATCCCAGGGATACACATTTTCTTCTGAGTTTAGTTTAAATTTAAGGTTGGCTTACGGTCACATGACAATGTGGAGGAAGTATTTTGTAAAATATCCTACACCCAGGGACTTAGAGGTACATATGGGGACATTCAACTGGTCCCCATATGGTAAAGTCCTGTTCTTTGAGTTGGGGTTAGGTTTAGGACCAAGGTGTGAATTCAGTTTAGGTTAGACTTAGATATATATGTTGGTAATAGTTAGGTTTAAGGTAAGGGTCTGGGTTAGGCCATATAAAATGAATGCAAGTCAAGGAAATGTCCCCATATGTCATAAGTGTTTTTCTTACATTAGATTAGCAATAACCATAGACAAGCAACTGCTGTTGCCCATCAGTCTAGGAGGGGCAATTATTAGGCAATTTTTACTGAAACTGATTTCAATCTTGATATAGTCTCTCTAATTAAAGACAGACTAATGTTCATAGAGTTGAATCTGATAACCATAAGAACTGGGGCTGCTTATTTGGAGGACAATGAATAAACATAAGCAGAAAAACCTCTTACCAACTATAAAGCATGGTGTTGGACAAACCATGATTTGGGATTGCTTTGATTCAACAAGATCTCATCACCCTACACCTACTATGTCACCCAGAAACTCAACTATACAAAAGTAATCAATGAAAAAAAGATTTTCTGGACAGCTGAAGCTTGACCGAATCAGGGTTAATATATTCGGCAGAATGGCTTTAGATATACAGAATCCCTGTGTTTTAACAGCCCAGTTACAGTCAAACTTATTAAAATACTGCTTATTGATTAAAATACTGTTCTGGGACTTTTAGAGCGATGTGAAGAAAGATATTTCTTTAAAACTCAATGAAGGAAAGTCCGTTTGTAGAGAGGAGGGAGTAAAAATGAAACATAACTTCTAAAAAGGGCAGAAAAACACTGACAGTTGATGTAATTCCTGTATTGGTGGTTCATCATGCTGTTGACTTTTGTGGCTCACTTAGCTTTGCACACACACTTCATTTAATATTTACTCTTTTAATTACTAAATAACATCTAAGAGGGGGTTGTGTGCTTTAATACATTTTAAATTTAATTTAATTGTGTTTGCAACCTGGTGTCGATCAGAACCTTTTAGTTTCTTATATTTTGACATGACAAACGTGAATGAAAGGTGGGTGTACAGTTCTTTTATAAAGCATATATTTTATGTTGACCAATAAATACAATGAGTATTTATGTACAGCTTGAAGAGCAAAGCCAAAGTTACCAAAGAAAGATTCTCACTCTCACCTCTAAATGGTGGTGCAGAATTAGTGTTAAAGCGCTGGGTGTAAGGTACCTCTCCCATAAAGGTGCTGTCCTCCTCAGGTGACCTGGGTTGGTCCCACACAGTCAGCTCCAGCATGTGGTTGCGGAAATCCCTGCGATGGACGTGAGTGTAGACGAAGGTCTGGTTCCACTTAGGCTCGCATGTCTTCTTCATGGTTTTTGTCCTTCGTTTGCTTTTGTCACTGCATAAAATAATACAAGGAGCACAGCTTACAGGGAACTTCTGCTACATCTGTCCTGAGTTCAGAGATTTATTTGAGACAGTTTATAGGCACTGTTATTTAAAGCATTTAAATAGATTCAAAAGCATCATAAGAATACTACAAGTAAGTAATTAGAACAACAAGTGTCCTTTGGGATGTTTGGCTGGCCTACCTGCGGTCAGGGAGGAAGTACATCTTTACATATGGACTCCTGGGGCGTCCATCAGGCCGAAGAGGAAGCTCTGTAGCCTGCAGCACGTTGACTATTAGTTGGTGACCCACTTTGTCGTACCACAGCTTCACCTGATTAAGAAATGCACATACACATTCACTTCAGGACTCCAAAGCAGCCCACAAGGCACAGTCACAGCACACCCACTAACCGATAGCTGCCCTGGCATCAGCTGAGGAGCATCTCGGAGCATCCCAGGACTGGAGGGAGACAGGACATTTAAAGATGGTCTCTCGATCTTCTGGGACTCAAAAGAACTGGAACCTGCTAGGAAATCAAATAAAATCGTTGAAGTTAAAGGACGGAAAAGCAGCTTTTCTTAAAAGTCACCAAAAATGTAGATGAAGGGTAGTGCAAGGGAAAATCCTAAAAAGGCCTTTTAACAGGCCTTGGTGTTGCAGTGACAATGTGTTTTATGGCAACTGATTATGTCATTAATCGGAAAACTGTGAAATCTAAAACCCACATTGTAAAATCTAAAGGTGTAACTGTATGATCTGCATTGTCACATCAGAGACAGCAGTAAATTCCATACGTGTGATGCGAAAAAAGTGTTTCCATTGCAGTTAATTTTGATACAAGCAAAAAAAACAAAACAATCAAAGCATAAAAAATATCAAATAACTATTTTTTTTTCTAAACTTCAGTGTTTCCATTTAGCAAATTTATTTTCAGAATTAAAATTTGCGCAGTCAGATGATAAATGTAAACACCCCTATTACAACCATTGTGTTAGGATATTTGGGGCTTTTTTTAGTCTGAAAAAATTCCATCAGTTTCCTATTATCTTTTAGATTGGCAAGGTTGATGATAAATTATCTGAAAGAAATCTGTTTTTTAAGTTTTTAAGTTTCTTAGTTTTGATTTAAAAGAATGATTTTCCTTAACATTTTATGATCTTTAAATATACCTGTAGTAAATTCACCACAGTTAAACTTGACATTTAAAGGAAACATAAATTCAAAGGTCAATCTTATAAATGCAGTTTTTGGTTTACCAGTTAGATGAATATATTGCTTAGATTTTGATTACAATGACAAATCTTTAAATACTTTAAGCACATTAGAGAGGATACTTACTAGATTCTAATGGAGGGTGGGACGTGTCGGGGATTCTTGGGATATCACTGAAAAGAGTTGAAAACAAAACACCTTTCACTTACATGTAGACCTCATAGATAGTTCCAAGTCTTGTCAGAAATTAAACTGATTAAAAAAAATGCATGCAAGCACTGGAAAAAGGCTGCACTTTAATTTAAATTTTAGCAACGCTTAGATGAAAAATATCATGGGGAAGCAAAGGGGAAGATGTGAAGCATGCTTGTGACTGCACTGTTTCCCTGACTCATTCACACATTTCTAGAGGCCATGATGTGAGCTGAAATAATAATCATATCTAGAGTCAATGCCTCAGTTTTGTCAATTGCACCTTTCTTCCTCTTCTATCATCCAGTGGAAACATCAGTATTTACTGCACAAAAGAAAAATCAGCAAGCCGTGAAGCACTTATCAGTGTCAACTGGACATTTTAGATTACATTATAAGCTTAATGTAGGACTACTATTGAAATAGTAAAGAGATAGTATGGCTGCATTCAATCTAATTTTTTAATTAATTAGCGCCAGAATATATAAATTTGGACTTCAAATTAACTATCTACTCCTACACTGAACAAAAACGCATACAAGAAACATCAGGAAGAATCTTGATTCAGTAGATTTTTGTTAGAACTATGAATTACATTCTGCCTAAGATTATGGGGGAATTTATTATTTTTTTTAGGTCACCTCATTCCACTGAGTTCTTTCTTTTATAAAAGGTCATCATTTCAAACCATCTCAAATGGAGTCAGGCCTCTAATCTGCCACTTGATACAGGTTGTACTATTTCTTATGCTGCAGTATTAAGGCAGTCATTGTCTTGATACATTATCCAATATGGGGCGAGTTGTTGCTGCACATCAGAATTTGGAAAAATGCAACAAATCGACTCATGATTAACCTTGTGACATCAGGGCATCCAGATTTTGTGCCTAAAATATAGGCCCAAACCATCAGTGTTTGTGTTTCCCAGAGAACTGAGCAAACATATTTACTCTCTTCTTGTCTAAGGATATTCTGCCAGTTGTTAAAAAGCACCTTTACAGATCTCAGTTGTGCAGCCATGTTTTCAAGATGGACCTATATGCAGGGATACAGTGCCCTACCTTTTCTGTCTACACCAGAAGTCCCAATCAGTAGTGTTACATTTTTTTCTTTGTGTAATTTACTGCTTAATGGGGGTGCTTTACCAATTCAATATAGTTAAACCATAGAGTTTAAAGGTTTTTCTGTTCCTGGAAACCAACAGATAACATCAGGTCATTGAATTCCCTCCTCCTGGGTTAACATGCAGCAGCAGTGGATAGCCCCTTGCATTGTGTTGTTTAATTTGCAGCCATCATTTATACCAAGCATGCACATAGGGACAGTAGGAAGGAAAACTTCCCTTTAACAGGAAGAAGCCTCCAATGAATAAACATTGATTAAATACTATGTTTCATTAAGTCTTTTTTTCCCACTTGACAAATTAATACATAATAGCAGCTTATCATTAGCTTGGCATTACCAACAACTTGTTCATGATTAAAACATGTATGTATGTATGTATGTATGTATGTATGTATGTATGTATGTATGTATGTATGTATGTATGTATGTATGTATGTATGTATGTATGTATGTATGTATGTATGTATGTATGTATGTATGTATGTATGTATGTATGTATGTATGTATGTATGTATGTATGTATGTATGTACGTATGTACCAATGTATGTATGTGTGTAGATATGGAAGCTGCCAATTGCAATGAACTTAGATGACCGTTGTGAAATTAGATTCAGAGATATGTTCCCCCTGGATCTAGACACTGCTGGTGGAGTGGAGGCCAGAGGAGAAGGAAGACAGAAAGAGCTTGAGAGCATGATGGAATAGATGGGGTGGAGGTGGGTCGAAACTCAGCTGAAGTTCAGAATTGACCATGGATGAGGAGTTTTAAGCAGAACCTTACTCAACTGTCGGCTGAACAGGAATGAGGACTTGATGGTGATTGGCTGGAGCTGATGTACATGATGAGGTGAATGAATGCATGTGATGCTGGCGTGAGCCTTCCAGTTTGAATTTGCATCTACACTTCATTAAAAATACCTTAGGTTTGGGTTACTTATCTACCAATGTAAGAATTAGATGTAACTTTTAGAGGAGGGGATAAAACAAAAATAAGATTTAGGAATATGCCAGGTTTAGGTTTCCTCTAAAATTTCCAGTGCAAACATATTTTTTTTTTTTTTTTGCTGTTTACTGTCAATCAAGTAAACAAAGGATGGAGTTCAAACATCTCTACAAGCAGCTGTTAGGGGCTTTATGAAAATAAGCTTGTTATTAGAGAAAGAATATAAACTTTTAATTGCCTCAAGTTTTAAGAAAAATTATTTAAGAAAAAGTATTTTCTAAAAATTCAGAATTATTCTACTTCCACTCTTTACTTTCATTGTTTACTGTAAAAAGTTGGCATTTCGGTCCTGCTGTGAAGTGCCTATGGATTAAATTTCATAAATATTCTCTTTTTTACAACATTTTATGCTCTTCTCCAGCATCAATTTAACCAACCGTTTGGGACTTTCAACTGAGTCTTTCTGTGTTTGCTGTAAAGCACCACTGGCGCAATGCTTTTCTCTGCTGATAAAAGAGTTTTCTATCTACTCTAAAATCTATTATATTGTGCCTCACTTTACAGTCACCATCAGGAAGAAAAAGTTTCAAAAAGTACTTTCTAGTGAGGTCTAATAATTTGAATAACTTTAACCTGTTAAGTTTTCTCAGAATTTTCGGCTTCACATTGATCCTTGTTTTTCTTTGCTTTCTAACTTTATTGGTGTTTTCTGGATATGAATCTTAGGTCTTTTTTGCTTGCCCTCTGGTGTTGTTCTCCTTTTTCCTAGCTCCTTCTAGAAGCCTCTGTTCACACCTGCTCCCAATTAGCTCATTAGTCCTGTCTTTGTTCAGTCTCCCATAAATACTCTCCCTGTCCAATAGGGGGTTTTCAGGTGACGTCGCGCTCACGTGACTACTCAGCGCGTCCGCCATATTGGGTGGCAGCCTTAGGCAGTATTGACAGTGAAAAATGGTGAAATCGTGTGTAATTGTTGGTTGCATGGCCCGTGGAGGTGGAGATCAACGCTCTTTCTATCGCATACCAGCCGTAATCGTGAATCAATGTGAAAAAACAAAACAGCTATCTGAACAACGCCGTCACCTATGGCTGACACGGATATCCAGGTCCGATTTGGACGGTGTTAAGCTGGAACACGCCAGAGTCTGCAGTGCTCACTTTGTCACAGGTAATTAATTAACTGTCAAGCATTTAAAACATGTAAGAATATATTAATAAAAGGGCTTGGGCGTCATGACGTATTACTTTCCGTGGCCGCAATGTTGACTGCCTCCGCCGCCGCTACTCAGACTACTACCTATGACTACCGCGTACTGGACTCCCTCTCTCAGCCGTGTTTTAATTTGATTAATTTCACCTTAACTTGATTTCAACCAGCGGGAAAAGGCTCAAATATGTGAGAAACCCGGAGGGTTTAGGGAGGTTTGGCAGTTAACGTTACTAACCAAACCTTTGAAACACATAGCAGCTAGTTAAAAGTACATTACATACCTGAGTGGTTGTTAGCACTAACGGTTAGCACTGTTTGCTGGCTTTATGAGCTGCAGCCCCTGAACCCATCCATTCGTAAACTGCACATGAGACTCCAAGGACTTGTAGCTTTGGAACTGTTCGCGCACCGCCGGCCGTTAGCCACCTAGCATAGCGAGCCCTGCGTCGGATTGTTTACATTTTTACCATCTTATTAAAACTCACCCGTCCACGTATGATGGCGATTTCCTTCATGTACATCACTTCGACATCTCGTACCCAACCAGATGTGAACTGGTTGTGAGCCTCTAGACCCTTGTACGCTCTCATTTCCTCAAGAGTGTGCAGAGGGTTTTCACTGAACACCGGGTAATGAACTATGTTACCGTGCTCTACATTTGGCCAACCATCTGGATTAGTGCTAAACAAGGCACCGTGGAGGGCATAGGGGTCCATATGGTCGATCACCGAACATTTCCTCAGATATGTTGCATGATCTGGTGGCTCTAGCGTGCTGGCGTACTTATCCATTCGCGACATGATATATTTAATATACGATAATATGCCACCCAAGATGGCGGACCGGGAGCTGGCCAGTGACGTCACTGAAAACCCCCTATTCTTCAGTGCCGGTTCCTCATCTTTCCCTGTCTTTTCAAGCTTGTTTTTCCCTGATGTCTCCAAGGTTCTGTTTTTCTTTTTATACTCTTTATGTTGGATTTTTGGATTCCTACCTCAGTTGCTTGTGAATACTCCATTAAAACTACAAGAACTCACCTCATCTGCCTCCCCACCTCTGCATTTGGGTCCTCAAAACCTCAACATAACCTCATGATATGTTTTTAAATCTGACCCACATTTAGAGAAGAATTTTATTTTGTAGAGGCAGGACACATAAAAACAGTGATAATATGAAATGTAAATAAATCAAAATTAGATCTGTTTTTATTTCTACTTAGCAGATGAAAGAAATGATGATCAGAGTTGGTTTGATTGGCCAAGATTGTGTACATAAACCAGAAATGTAACTGCAGTTTCATACACTTGTACCGTACAGACAATATGTATAAATAGACAAACTTAGAAGAAATTAATGAAAAGATAACAAAGTATTATGTATATGTACAGTAAGCACACTCAGCACCCAGAAAAATCTAACCTGTAACAAATTTAGCGCCCTATCACATATGCATTAATGAAATAGTATGTTTAACAACAGACAAAAATTCCGCTAAATTTGTTTTCTGGGTAAAAATCAAACAAACTGATAAGTGTTTCATGAAGTATTGGTTGCCTCTGAGCTAATTTCAAAATGAAAATATAATGAATAGCTTGCTTTATGACTCCCAATGTTCCAGCAGAGCTCACCAGTCACAGAAATGTTGGAGGTGCAGGATTTGAATTTTCTGCACAGGCAACTTGATCTCTTGCAAAAGCGTGGCTAAAATGATGAATGTTTCCCAGTGGCCATTTTGGATCTCATGAAGTGAACTTAGGGACATTTTTGAAAAATAAATAATTAATAAAAAATAACTGCAAACAGCAATTCTGACGAAAGGATTGAAATTTGATCAATGCTAAATAATCAGAGCCCTTCACCAGGAGATACAAAATGGCACCTGAAGCCAAAATAGATTCAGTGACAGGATTAAAGCTTAAAAAAAGAAAAATGAAACAAAACGGAATTACTTACTGATATTTTCTATAAACCCTTCGTGAGTGTTTGGAAAGAAAGTATTAGATTCAGAACTTCAATTATTTTTCTTTTGCTAGTGTGTAGTAGGTTAAATCTGATTTATCTGTTATGTCAGAAAAAAACATTATATATAGAATAACCGGGCTTTTACGAGAACAGCGAATAAACCAATTCAGTTTAAAAAAAACTTGAGAAACTACTGGAAATTAGTCAGGAAGTAAATAGATGGCTGGTCTGGCATGGATAGGACATTGTAACAGTTTAGAGAAGGGCAACTGGACTTTTCTTGTTTTTATGATATGGATCGTCACTTATTCAAATGGCTCATTTAATAGTAGAAGGTTGGAAAGTCGAAGACCTGTTTTCTCAGAATAATCCCTCTATGACTATTGAGAATAAGCAGATTCAAACATACCTCTGCAGGGCTACTTTTTAGCCAATTCAATTCAGTTTATTTATAAAGTGCCAATTTCTAACACATGTAATCTCAAGGCACTATTCAGAGACAATCCAAACAGATCATATAGTCAGACTGATTCAATCCCTCTTACAAAACATGCGTTTAGCGATAGTGGAGAGGAAAAACTCCCTTTTAACAGAAGGAAAAATACAGCAGAACCAGGCTCAGTGTGAGCGGCCATCTGCCGAGGCCAACTGGGGAAGCCAAGAAAGCAGCTTACTATTTAATGATGCTCATTACTGCCCAGCAAAGAGAAAGGGACTCAAATGTCCTTCATCAGAACCATTCTTACAATCCAGGAAAGGTGGTGATGATTCAGAGGTTCTCAAAGGAGATGGTGTACCAGGTCACCAGGCTAAAGTCAGAGTAATCAATTGCTCAAAGATTTGAACATTGAAATGAGCATCTGTCCAAAATTCTTCAGAATTCACAAAATTGAGGTGGATAAACTGGAGGAAAACTAATAAGCTTTTCCAAATACAAACTTGACAAAGAATGTCCACCAAAAGACAGGACTTGGTAATATCAAAAAATCAAGGTGGTTCGCAGAATTGAAAATGTAAAAAACGTAAAAACACTAAAGATGCACTCTGAAAATGGTATAGGTTTTGATAAAAACAAAAACGTTTGAATCTTGATGAAAAAAGTTTTACTGTACTAGAAACCTCTAAATAATTGTCATACCAACATTTCTCACCTTGACTGCACAGAAAATAACTATGAATAATTTTCTACCTTTTCTAAAATGTAAAATCATTTGCTTTGAGTGTGTGTCATGACTTACCCAATAGGCCTGGACACAATCAGCTGCACCTGAGGTTCGGCTTGAGACTCCAGGATGATGTTATATACTTCCTTCATGGTTGCCCCTGGCAACAGCTTCCCGTTCCACTGCAAAACCTCATCCCCTAAAACCAGGTGCCAATACAAACGGGATTGTTCAACACAGCTATAGTCTAAATGAATTTGTTTCAGGCATGATCACCGACTGTGTATGTGTGTGTAGAGAAATCAGGAGATTAAACAAAATGTTTTATGAGATCATAACATTTGGTCTCTACCTGCTCGGAGATGTCCCACCACGTCAGCCAGGCTACCCTTCTTGACTTTGGTGATGAAGGCACCTAATCTCCCTGACTCGGTTACTCTCCCTCCGACCACCTGAAGCAGAAAACACACACCAAGAAGCTGTAATTCAAAGACAGAGCTCCCAACCACATGTTAAACAGACTGCCTCTTACCTTTAACCCGAGCAAAGCCCCAGCCTCTTTAGGCATGGTAGCAGATCTCTTGCTGAGGGTGATTCGTCCAATCAGATGGTCTCCCTCCTTGGATGGCTGCCAGGTTACAGGATGCTGCAGAGGGACAGAGCAGGGCGGATGGAGAGATGGCCATAGTGCACCTCAGAGGAAAGATTCTGCACTTTTTGGTTCTGCTTAAGTTTTCAGTTTCACTTTGATTCAAGTTTTTCTCTGTTTTCTAGTTTTGGTTTAATTCCCATTTTGTGGTGTTTTCTGGATGCATTTGAGTTCTTATGTATTTTTTGTTTTCCCTCTGTTGCCTCCCTTTGTCAGTCCCCTTTCCCCTAGCTCCCTTCTAGATTCCTCTGTCCGTACCCACTCCCAAATCTACTGATTAGCCTGGTCTTTGTTTCTGTCTCCTATACACCTCCTGTTCAGTCACTGTTTGCTGGTTCCTCGTCATTTCTTTATTGTCATGTGTGTTTTACCTGAAGTCTTTTATTTCTTTGTTTTCTGTTGTTTTTTTGTTTTTGTTTTTGGGGGGGGGGTTGCCTCAGTTGCAACCATTTTAGATGATTAAACTTGCAATAAACCATCTCAGCTTCCATCTCAGCAATTTGGGTCCTTCAAAACTCCACGCAAACTGACAAAGAATTTTAAACCTACTGTACGATCACTTTAACCACAAAAATATAGTGGGGCTTGAAAGTTGATTTAAAAAGAATATATTAAAAATGGAAAAAAAAATAATAATTTTGAGAAGTAGTTAATGTCAGACAGTACAAAGTTTACTTTTTTTTTTTATTCATGTTTCAAAAACAGCAACTAGGTGCTCTCAGTGGAAGTTTTTCCCTTATGTTCTTTCATTTAAGTTAACTAAAAACTTTATGTAAAAGCACACATATAGACATATATTTATTTAACTGATTTAGAAAGTGGTGATGAGGGCCAAACTATGTCTAAACCTGTCAGGGCCAAGGGATATTTACTTCTCACCACCAGATTTCTCCTTGGAAAAGCAATGAATGATTTGTAGGCACTTGTCCCATTAAGAAACTCTTAAGATCTGTTCAAAAAAATATGTTCAAACCAGTATGGGAGGACTTTTGTCCCAATTTTTATAAAGCTGCAAATTCTAATATTAAGCACTACAAACAGTTATACCAAGTATAAATTAAACACCAAAGGGCACCAGGTGTTACACTGAGCTGGAGGATTTTTGAAGAAGCTTTCCTCTACAGGAGCAGATTCAAGTAGGTGCAGAAAATGAGGAAATCATGATCATAACTTTTACGTTAAAGATAAAAATATTTACAGGTTTCTGGCCAATCTTTTGGATCAGCTGTCTATCATGAGGGGAGATGCAGATCTCCATAGATGGGGAGGCCAAAGAAGAAAGCCTATGATTTAAATATCTTCTGTAGAAGCGTTTCAAGAAGTATGACGGAGGAGTTAAAGAATGACCTTTAAACTGAAGTATGCACACAGGTCAATCTTTTCAACATGGAAGTAGCAGTATGCTGATCTGGGATGTATTTTTGCAAGTGGTAAATGTTCATTAAAGTAGGTGAATCGATGAATGAAGGAGGACTACCTTAAAATACCTTCCTTCCATTACTCCTCACTGTGAGTTGAAGAAGGTTGGTATAAATATAGGAACAACATAAAAAAGAATGCAAATGTACAAGAAAACTGGTTTTCAAATGCAGAAACTCTGACAACCTTTAACACTGTTTTTTAAACCCCAAAAGCCTAAATCCTCAGGTCAGTAAAGGTTAGGGCTGGAAGGAAAGCATGAGATTAGAATAAACAACATTGCCAAGAAAAGGAGTCAAATATTTAACCAGAAAATTAAAAGAGACGTTTAAAAAATATCAAGGAGTAAATACACACGACTGTAATTAGGCATAATTATGACCCTAAGAGGATGTCCAAGTGTCAGTTGCTCTTTGCTTCTAGGAGAGCAGATGGTGTAACACATTTGAATAAATTAATGCCCATAATGAGTTATCAAACCTGTAGATCTACAGGGACACTGACATGACCCTAACCCTTTAATTTACTTAAATATAAACCTTTAACAGCACTGTACTGATGTAAAATAAATAAATGAATAAATAAATAATAATAGAATTAAAAAAAACACTGACTTACATGCCATCCTGTGGGGTCGTGTGGATTGCACTCCCAGTCTCCTGCAACAGAATAGAGATCATTTCACATAATGGAGACATAGCGGTGGAGACCATACAAGCAAACTTTCCTTCACATACAGCTCAAACTTGCAGCTCCTTCCCAAGGCCTATGCTGACACAGAGGGTTGGGTTTACTGAACATTCAGGTCTGGGCTAGGATTAAAAATATATCAACAAAGCAGCAGGACTCTGTCTGATTCGCAGAGGTGGAAAGGAAATTTAATCCCTCCCCAGATACTTTACAGATTAAATGTTGTGGAGAAAGCTGTTGTATATGTAAATTAGGAACGCTTAAAAAAGTGCAATGTTTGCAAAACTTCAGGAACACTGTTATGGCATGGAGAAAAAACGAAGCCAGGTGTTCCCAGCAGCAGGGAAGCTGTGAAGCTAACAAGCTGTGACCACCTTTAGTAGTGTTGTATGGGCGACAGTGGCGTCGGATGCAGGAGTTTGCTCTTTAATCGAAGGGTTGTCGGTTCAAGTCTCCAACTTTCAATGTCATTGTGTCATTGGACAAGGCACTTCTCCCACTTTGCCTACTTCTGGTGGTCAGAGGTGTACGGCAGCTTTGCTTCTTTCAGTAAGCTACAATGCTACAGCGTACTTGTGATACAAATTTTAATGAAAAAGCACTAATAAGCACTAATAAATACAGGCCAATTATGTAATATGAATGATAACGCCCCTGCTTATGGACCAAACAGACCTTGATGTTATAACTTAGATATAAATGTAACCCAGAGGTGGGATTCTTAGAGGACGCATGTTTCTGTGTCCAAATATGTTATTATGAAAGAAAAATAAGTCAATATATCAAATTAATATTTTAATCAAGACTGCAAAACAAGAACAATGCAGGATTATTCTGTTAGTATAAATCTTAGTTTAGTGCTGAAGCAACTACAACATTATTTTTCAAGTAAATAGAAAATAAAACTTACTTGATCAAAATAATGATACAGGACTTAATCATTGTTTTTATAAAGAAAAGAATGAAAGAATAAACTAGGGCTGAAACAATCAGATTAATCGCCTATTGAAATAATCGTCAACGAATAGAGATACTAAAACATGTCTTTAACAGGCAGAGCAACCCGTTTACAGCAGTAATTATATCAAAAAATTTAAATTATATATATATATATATATATATATATATATATATATATATATATATATATATATATATATATATAAACATTTTGCCTTTAAGATAAAAAAACAAACTCTTTTGTCTGTTAAAATGCAGAATTCCTCAAGAGGAAAACTTTTAGTTTCACCTGGTTTAAATATGTAAACAGTCTTATTTAAGAAACCAGAAAGTTGTCTGGTTATTAATCGATTTATCAAAAAAAAAAAAATTATCGACAGATTAATCAAATTTCAAAATAAATGTTACTTACAGTCCTAGAATAAACCCCTCAAAAAATGTAAAAATGGTTTGCATTGCTAATCTAACATAAGAGCTTTTAACACTGAAGAAAAGTTAAAAGATGCAGTCAAATGCCATGTGTATTAAGTGTTTGACCTCTCCCTCCCTGCTGTTTTAGAGGATCAGTCGTCCATGTCTGTGTGTTTCTATGCAGGAATATACAAGCACCTTTAAAGAAGGAAAAGAGAAAAAACAAACAGGGTTTTATTGTAGTGATCTCAGTCATTTGAATGGCTGGGTGCCTCGCTTCTGCCAGCACCTACGATACGCCTCTGACCCTGATCTTAGTGTAGAGCTAAAAAAGGCAACAGCCACAGGGGCCTGTTTAAAACTCGGTCTGATGAGACTCTCACCCTAAACATTCATTTCACCCCATCTGCTACTTAGAGCTGCACCTTTAATGGATTTCACTTTATAAATAAAATCACTAAGGGAGGGGCTGGATATTGCAAATCAAAAATGTTTAAACCAGGAGGAATATAAATACAGATTTATTTGAGGGAAAATACCTATCCATACCTACCAAGGCTTGCGTAAAAAACCTACTACTCCTAAGCATGTTTATGTCTGTAGGTTAGCTCTAAGGTTCATTTATTTATCCTACCAGCACTAAAAACAATTAGCTGCAGCAGTATATTTTAATCTCAAACTTTAGCTATCCAAAAGTGGAACTATTAGATGGTCTCATGCAATTCCCGACATTGCAGCAATTCCTCCACACCGTCTGGCTATTAATGCTTCTGGACACACAAAATCATACTCTTCGGTGACAGCTGCCCTGCAACAGTGCATCAACCATTTTGGTGCATTCTGGGAATTGTAGTTTTGATCAAATTTGCACTGTGCATCTATTGGGAAGCAGTTGGCAGTAAAGTAACATGAACCCGCTCAAACCAAGCAAGGGTTAGAGAGTTCTTGTAAAGAGAGTGCTTCCATGTACAAGTTGGAGTAAACCCTGGGATTTATAAAGGCCGAACAGCCTCCGCTGCAGGCAAACTGCATATAATGTTAGACTGGTCCTGCACTGCACTGAGATCAGAATAATTGTTGCTGATTAGTTTGAAATGACAAACGAATAATTAGAAAATGCTTTATGGACTGATGTACACTTTTTAGAATAACAACCACACACAGAGTAAGAGATTTTTTTAACAATGCTGCAATATCCAACACCGAATCAGAAAACTTGTGGAAAAAAAGTAAAATCTCATAAAAAAATAAATAAATAAAACAACTAAATAAACGTATTTAAAATTGATAATTTATAGTATTTATAATTATTTATATTTATAATCTTATTGCTTTACTATAAAAAGCTGACTTGAGATGATGTGTTGTGAATTGGGGCTATATAAATAAACTGAATTGAATTGAACTGAATTGACTTACAGTGATTCATAATATAGATGTATTATAATTATTTTTCTATCTTTCTAAGCCTAACTGGAATTTGGAGCTGACTTTTGTAAAAACATAAGAAAAATACAAAAACTTCATCCTATGTTTATTGCAACCCTAGAATCATTAAATTTAATTCTCCATTAAAACTTCCTGTTGAACTTTAGGGGGGATGCAGGGTTTCTCTTCTGCAATTTGGACCGTGAATTTGAGAGCAATTGCACATGTCTGTTTTATATTGTTGTTTTGGTCGTGACCATCAATACTACGTTACTTTGCCATTATGCTCACTCGCCTGTAACAACTTGTATCTATCTGTTTTTGTTATGCTGGTTCACAACTAGATTCTTCTGATAGCCTGTACTACGTAGTTCTTCAGGGTGAAACCCAGAGTGTGAGTAATTCCTTTTCCCCTCTTAAATGTTAGATTTCTGGTTAGTCCATAGATTTCCCTTAACAATCAATGGAAAGAGAATCCACTATCAAAACAGGGAGAATGGTCCAAGGCTGTGCACCGTGACGTCACTGCCAGAAGGAGTGTCATGACTGAGGTGTTGCGATATTTGGACAAAAATGGCCGTTCACAGACTCAAACTCTAAATCACTGCAAACATATTGTTTTTAGGTATAGGTAATTTATTGATTATTCCTTGATGACCAGACTTCTCCTTAAATGTTTCCTTATTCATGATTCAGCAACAATGTGTGTTTTTTTTAACCACAAGAGGGGATGAAGTGAACAGAAAATCTTGAAAGAAACAAAATTTAGAAGAATTAGAAGGACCTCACAAACATCACAGAGAGAAATTGTTGCTTTCATTTTTACTGACAGCTGCCAATCCTCGTCGCATGTTTTAGATTCAGAATAAAATTATTATCATTATATTTTGTTAAATTATATAAGTCGTCATTTAAAATATTTGACTTATTTTGACATTAATGAAAAAAAATTGACTGTTACTGTATGTTAGCAGGCTCGGAATGGTAATCTGTGATACCGGGCCTTTGCCCGGTGGGCCGGTCCCAATTTCAACGTGCGAGGGCCGGCCCACCTTAAATCATACCAACCCCAACACTTACTCTCTGGCCGAAGCACCTACATGTGACAGTAAATAACTTTAGGAGCTTAAGAAGTAACACAATGTTAACTATCTAAATGATGCAAGCAGTATATACAGCTCTTCCTTGTCCTGCTCATCCTTGTGACGGTTGGCAGATGGTGTAATTTTCTATTTCTTCAAACTGTAAAATCTTATTTCTTCAAGCTGTAAAATTGTTGCAACAAACTAAATTATAATAAACTAAAATGCTTTCTTTAAACCAAACTACGATGTTCTTCTTATATTTATAAGTGGGCTGGTGTAGATGGAAAAACGCCAGGGCCGAAAATCGTTCCCAGTCCAAGCCTGTATGTTAGATTTAGAGGTGCAATGGTTTAAACATGTACCATAAAGTAGGATCATAACCACCAATACCAGATTGAAAGACTGTGAGTGTCAGTGAGTGTCTGAATAATTTGTATGTATAGAAAATAAAAAAAAACTAAAAGGTGGGAATATTGTTGTGATATATAGTACAACAGACAGGCAATATAAGAAGGCTTTGATACTGTGGGAAAGAATTGCATTTCTATTTGATAAAAAAAATAAGGAAAGATGAAAATGTGCCACAGATATCAGATTTAACAGCTATAAAAATGGAGACTAAACAGATTTAAGAAACTTATAATGATTAAATAAACTAGAACAACTTACCCCTTTCACTTATGCTCTCAATTTCAGCATCTTCACAGCTACTGTACTCAGGCGTAGTTCCACCGTCTTCCTCTGAACTGCTGACACTGGTTTGTCTCTTCCCTCCAGCCCCCAGCCCCCGTTTTGATTTGTGGGGCCGTGGTGGAGGAGGCCGCAATGATTCAGACTGGTCAGAGCTTAGCGAATCGTTTCGCAGCATGCTTTCAGCCTTGTCCCGTTTGGTCCGTTTCACCCCAGCACCCTGGCCAAGACCCGTTTCAGGTCCCAAAGTTGAAGGTACTCTGAGTTCAGGAGGTGCTTTCTGTGAAACAGCCTGTGCCCCGCCCACCGTCCTCTGTCCAAGTCGAGTAGCGTCCCCAACCTCTCGTGTCCCACTGCCTGTGCCACGACCCTGCCCAGGCAGCCCCCTGCCTCCTGATGAAAATGGCTCTGCCTGTCGAAGGGGACCTGCATTGTTGCCCACCTGCTGATAACCCCCATCCTCTGTCCTTCTTACACCAACACCACCCCCCAAAGGATCATGCTCCAGAGACCGTCCCTTCAACAGCCGGCCTTCCCTTCGCTCCCTCGACTCTCCTCGTAGGTCTCGATCCATGGAGACCTGGGTTTGCAGCCTAGGCTGGCCTGTCCGCCGCTCCCCCCGACCTGTTCCACCGCCTCCACGACCATTTCTCCTGAGGAGCAAGTAGAATTTATTATCAATCCAAAAACATACAGTCAAATACAGCCTTATATAGAGATGCTTACCTTGAATGCCACTTTAATATTGCAAAGCAGCATATTATTAGCAACCATCAGAAATGCCTAATACCTGTGTTACCTCTTAAAGCTTTAAAAGACTTTTAACTTGTTTGTTTAACCCCAAATAAATGAATATATCAAAGCACTCAGTGAACAGATGTAACATATATTTATTTAGCATAAAGTCTCAAATATTGTCCAACTGCTCAAAATGTCAGGACTCCTGTCTTTGTGTTTGTGTTTCTGTGTTTGTCCGCCTCCTCACACACCTGCTGATGGTTTCCTCGTTAACGGAGTGTTCTTAAGCTGCTAACTGACACTGCCTTGACACCAGAGTGTTTGCCAGTTTTGGGTACTCCAGCCAAGCTGAGTTTTGCTGAGTCAAACTGAGTTCTAGTCAACCCGAGTTTTAACTTTGTTTTTTTGTCTTTGCCTCTCAGCAGGACGTCATCCTGCAAACTGGATTTTTTAGACCTTTTCTCCCTGGAAGGATCAACTGAGCTACAAACTGAGCTGGGGTTCATACAGGAGGTTTGGATCCACTTTTCCCAAGAGATCGTTTGAGCTTCGCACTGAGAAAGGGATTTATCTCCACTACGACCCGTTCAAGTACCGCAGGAAATCTGAGTGGCAGTCAGTTTCTCCGTTCACCTATAACAACCACATTCTGGGTAAACCCTGTTCCGCCCTCCACCGAATCAGACAATCACTGGATCTACAGCATACAGACTGGAGTCAAGGATTCAACAACTTCTCTGGAAACGTGAGTCAGCAACCAAATCCTTTTCTCCAAGTTCACATGTCAAATTTCCCACTGAGCCTGAACTAACCGCTGTGTCTTCCCCCTCACTTTTCAGTTCTGGTTGAGCAGTGTTCAGAGCAACAATTCTCTCTGAATTATCTCTTCAATAAAACCTGTTAAACCTTTTCCCTTGTCTCCCTGTTTGGTCTTCTGCATTTGGGTCTGAACCTTAGAAAAATCATGACACAAAAAAGGAAACCCTTTATTTGTGGGATGCACAGTACACTCTTCACAGCATATCTGGGAAAATTTATTTCACTTTATGAGCATAATCTCAGTAAAACCTTTTTTGAATAATCTAGCTTTTAAGTAACTGAGTAACTAAAAAAATACCCGACAGACTGGAGAAATATTTTTCCTCTAGATCCAGACCTTCTACAGTCTAATTTTCCTTAGATGTGAAGTTTGAAAAGCTCTTTTTACAGACATCTGAAGGGTTTTATGTTCTGAAAGATGCAAGAATGTCCGGATGGCAGATTCACATTATGCGTTTTGTAAACAACGGAAACAATCGTATAAAAACAAAGCGGTCGCTAAAACAACTTCATCAGATCCAGTTTCAGAACCTGAAATATGTGATTTCTATCTGAGTGGCATACATGTATTTCGTGTTTTTGTCCCTCCATCTTACCTGTCCCGTGGTGGCTCACTTAGCGACCGAGCATCTGTACCAGGGGTGGTCCCCAGTACACCTGCTTGGTCTTGGATAGTCCCAGTGGAGCCTGCGGGTGCTTGGGAGTGAGATCTCAGCTTATCTCCGGACACTTGGCACACAGACGGCTCACTGACAGCAGAACCGAGAGTAGAGGCCTTCCCGGGAGGACCAGTGAACCACTCTCCTGGCTTGGTGAGGATCTCCTGCTGCTTTCTGCAGTTATTGCACACCCATATCACCTAGAGAACACAGAATGCCTCAGTCAGCCATCATGCAACCAGAACATATATGATAATGAAATAAAACACATCCCCTTACAGATAGCTTGGGATGAAAAGGTGTTATGGAAATATGTTTCACTGCAACAACTGAAAGCAAAATGACAGTTTGCCACAATCTCATTTGAAGCCAAGCGCCCACTGCTGTCAAACAGGAAATGGAACAGTGTTCTTCCTAAAGAGCTGCACTTGTGCAGTAAGCCATTTAGGGGAAAAATAAAGGCTTTTATGGAAGCTTTTTAAGATAAAGGATGGCAAACATACCAGGGAGCAGCTTGATTCTCCCACTGTGGGCTGCCTTTGGCCACCAAATGAAGAACAGAGAGCCAACTGTTAAATTAAAGGACACTAGGATTACTGTCAAAATAACATCTCCAGTTCTCCTTCTAATTCTGTTATCGCACATATGTACACCAACTGTACACTGGCTGCAGACTGCAGAGGAGAGTCCAAATTCACTTTTATCTTGTGATGAAACATTTGGTGGATATTCAAACTATTACTGCTCTATTTTCAGGCATGGTTAAAAAAAAATAAAATAAGAACATTGTTTTTCAGTTCAAGGGCTCCACATTCACTAAACCCAATTGTTCATCACAACAAGATAAGGCCAAAATGGAAGAGCTGCACGTGAAAAACTTAACAACGGCATGCAGAGAAGCTTTAGCAGCAATATGTCTCAGAAATCATTTACTGTTGGAGAATGTTAGATTGTAAAGTTGTTTCTGGACAACTTCAGACATTCTGTTGTAAAAATGTGTCTGGGTTCTGTAAATAACTAAGTTTAGACCAACCATCCACTGTTGGACAAGAGGACACACAATTGGCTCTAGAATACTTTAACAGAAGGAGGATTTAATAGTCAGTTCAATCAATGCAAGGTAGCCAGGTTCTGTGACTAGCAAAGAGGCCAAAATCATCACCTTTCCACCAACATGGTCTACAATTGGTTTAAGGTTTCATCTTTCGTTCTTTAGCAAACTGGGTACTTTGCCTTGCAAACAGTTCTTAATGTGTTTTAAGCTATCCAGTCTTTCGGAGTTCATTCACATGCAGTTTTGCAAACCTAAGTGTTATTTTATTTAATTTTTTTAGCCAAAGGAAAGTTACAAGCATGTCTGGCAAGATTCCAAGTAAAGGCTGGGGCCCATGTAAATACCCAGGTAATACTGGCTTGTTGGGAAAAAAACAGAACTTTTGTTCTGCAAAGCCAGAATTTATTTTTTATATCTTTCCTTTACAAGATGCATCCTAAACATATTAAGATAAAGTTTAGATAACACTAACAAATACTATCTTAGCAGCAAATGGTTTTTAATAGTATTTTAGAAAATAATTTTGTTTTAATGAGTTTTCTCAAAGTTATCCAAATGAAATCAGGTGTGTTCTTCTACACTTTTAGGTAGATATGATCTTGTAAAGAAGGTTTTTTTTTATTATCAGGTCTTAAAACCATATAATAAATGTATACGTAAATGCATGACTTACACTATGATTTTTATTTATTTTATTGTTTTTAGGGAAGGATAGTGCATTTCCAGATTAGCCATGTAACCCCTTGCCTATATCCCCAACAATGTCAAAGAATATCACATTGGAGAATCTGGCCACACTCTAAAATAGTCAAAGTGAGTGTGAAAAGGCAGCCCTCCCTTTTCACAAATGCCACAGAACAGCACGCTACAATGTAGCTGGCTAACGTCACACACACCTGCACACACCTCCATACACAAGCGCGCACACACGAATCTGAGACTTTCACTCGCGGAGCCGGCAACCGCATATGAGAGCTCTTTGTCACGCCAACACTCCAAAAACTTTCAGTACTTACCTGAGTGACCAGCCATCGCAGCGTTCGGTGAGGTACCCGCCGATATCGCTCCATAATCCCATACCGCTCCAGTTTCCACACATTGCACACACAAACACAAACGCGCACACACACTTCCTGGTCCGACAACTTCTCCTCCCCTGGGAAACACGAACTTCTTCTTCTTCTTCTTATGAGATTTTATGGCGGTTGGCAAACTTGTGAAATGTGCATTACCGCCACCAACTGATATGGAGTAAAGCAAGGAAACAGGAAACGATTCACCCCCCCCAAAAAAAAAAAAAAAAAAAAAAAAAAAAAAAAATACAATAAAATAACCTGTGTAACTTAAACCCACATAATACTAAATTATACTAAATTACATTTGCCCGTATAATTTTAATTTACTCTAGGTCATCGTACCTCTGCCAGTTTCTGATGGTCCCATTGGTCTTTCCATCATGCTTCCAACCATCTCCCAGTTCATATCTTTAACATCCAGATATTTTTCTGCAGCCTTCACTATTATTTTGATTTTTTCTGTTTTTTTTGTCGTCTGAGCAGTACAATTAATCACTTCCACCATGAAAAGAACAAAATTTGTCTTTTTAACAATTAGTGAGTCTTCATCAATTTTTGGAGATTTCTCTAGAGGTTTGAAATTTGCCGTGTGTTGAACTGAAGGTTTGGGTTTTTCTGACTGAGATGGGATCCTTTTTGCAGCTTCAGCATAAGTTATTCCAAGCTCAAATTTCATTTTTTTTATTTCTTCAGACCTTTTGCTTGCTTCACAGCCGCGATAAGCAGCAGTATGTTCTCCACCACAATTACAGCATTTTATTTTAGCTTCTTTTCCACATTTACCATATTCATGTTCTCCTGCACACCTTCCACACCTCTGTTTCCCTTTACAAACTGCTGCAATGTGTCCGAATTTTTGACATTTGAAACATCTCAATGGTGGTGGATTGTAGATTTTGACATTGTAACTGATGTAACCGATGAATACTTTGCTTGGTAATTGCTCTTCCTCGAATTTAATTAGTACAGATAAACTGTCAGATCTTTCTCCGTTTCTTGTTGTTTTTAACCGTTTTACTTCTTTTACTTTTGCACCGCTTATGTTTTCCAGAATCTCTTTTTCAGAAATTTTCAGAGGAACTCCTCCAATGACTCCCCTGCTGATCTTTTTGTTCTCCATTAGGCTGCACTGAACTCTTATCCCGTCAATTTTGTTAATACGTATTGCTTTGCCTTGCTGGGCGCTGTCTCTGCAGTTAATTAGCAGGTCTCCACTGTACAGAATTCTGGCACCTCTGACTTCTCCAACAAGTTTATTGATGGTTTTTGTTAAGTGAACCGGATTCCAGTTTGTAAAAGAGTCTGCCTGATTAACGACTTTGAATATGACTTTGAATTCATTTTGTTGTGCTGTGGAATGTATGGATTGATCATCACTGGATTGTTCTGAACTAGATTCCCCTTTAACTGATCTCTGTTTTTTCCGCTTTTTCTCATTTTTTGATGCTGCTATCTTCCAACCTTCATTGTCACTATTTCCCTCTTCCATCCCACAAGAATCGCTTCCTGTTTCCTCACTACTCACGGCCCAGGACATTTCTCCACAAGCAGAGCAGCTTCAAAACACGCGCCATGCACCAAACGACCAACGTTCCTCCCACGTCCTTCCACCCGACCTCGAAACACGAACTGTGGGTAGGGGAATAATTTATGTCTCATTCAGCCAATCAGAGGCTTTGATTACCTGACGGGGTGAAACTGAGTGTTTGATGCATTTAAAATGCTATTTTTAGGTGTAATGTTGATGTAATGAGAAATGTGTTTTATTGAATGTATGCATACAGTAATGTGGTTAATGTAGATTGCTTAGGCATGTAATTTAACAGTGAAAATGAAGTAGTGCATTGTTTCAGCTGTACCTTTTTTTTCTTGCATAGTGGTCTCATCCAATCAGTCAGTGATTTAGTCCAGTAGGCATGCAATTTGCCAATTATGTCTGTTTGTATAAAAAACCTACTTTTTCCTCAGTTTGTGGGTTGGATGCTAGGAGAAAGGTTGGTGCCTGAGACTGTCGTGTTCAAAAGAGGTATTGCTCTCTGTGCTTAGATTTATTATTAGTTATTATTTTGAACAACCATCGTGTTGATTTTGTTTATGTTTTGGAAAGTCTTTTTGTTACTGCACTTTTTGGTTAGAGCACTGTAAATAAATATACACCACGTCATTTGCACTGGACCTCCTTGTTGAGTGCTTTCATTCCATTTGGGTGGCCATCCTGCAGTGAAACCTGAGCCAGAGGGCTCACCAGTTTCACATTTGGTGTCAGAAGTGGGATCGTGGCGCCGACACGAAAGTCAACAAGAAAGAAGTGCAAGCAGAGTGAGATGGCTTACAGGAAGTTGAAGAAGACCAACCCCCTGGGTCCAGGTGAGGAAGAGGTCGAAGGAGCCATAGGAGGAGAGCAACAGACACAACCTGATGACGACGACAGGCCGCAAGAAGCACTCAACCTTTCAGACCTGTACAGCCTACTGCAACGGTCCATGCGGACGCAGGAGAAAGAGAGGGAGAAACAAGAGCAGCGGTGGCGCAACATTCAAGTTCAACTGGGTAACGTCCGTGATGAGCTGGAGGACCATCGCAGGAGTTCCAGGGGAGGGCAGCAGCAGCAGCAGCAGCCAGATGGAGCAAAGCCAGCAACCCTCCCAGCGGCAGCGACCCTCCCAGCAGCAGCGGCGCATCCAGCGGCAGCGACCCTCCCAGCAGCAGCGGCGCATCCAGCGGCAGCGACCCTCCCAGCAGCAGCGGCGCATCCAGCGGCAGCGACCCTCCCAGCAGCGGCGGCACATCCAGCGGCAGCAGCCCTCATGACAGTAGCAGCAGCACCGGCACATCCAGTGGCAGCAACCCTCCAAGCAGCACCGGCAGCAGGGTATCCAGCACCACCACCAGCCCCATGGATGCCAGCGGCAGGCCCATCGATCCTGTTTCCTGATCCAGCAGCACCAGCGCCAGCAACATGGACCAGAGCAGCAGTGCCGAAGCTAGAGGACAGCGATGATGTGGAGCAATACATGACCACCTTTGAACGCCTAGCCACAGCCTACAGGTGGCCCTTAGCCCAGTGGGCTACATTCCTTGTACCGTACCTGTCTGGCAAAGCTCGGGCTGCATACGTCGCCATGGATCCTTATGAAGCCGTGGACTACTTCAAGGTGAAGAATGCCATCTTAGCCAAATATGAGATAAACGCCGAAAGCTACCGAACACGGTTCAGGGAGCCGAACATTCAATCTGGTGAGACGCCGAAAGAATTCTACAACCGGCTGAAGGACTTGTACCAAAAATGGATTCGCCCAGCGGAGCACACTGTGGAAGAAATCGGTGAAGTGCTCATTCTGGAACAATTCTTGCGCTCACTCTCCCCGGAGGTAAGAGTGTGGGTCAAAGAGCACAACCCCAGCACAGGCCTGAAGGCTGCAGAGCTCGTGGATGGTTA